GGGGTGCTGTCATAGTCGGGATTGGCGATGCGAAGGCCGCCCAGCGACTGGGAGAGGCTGATGTCGCCGCTCATGGCGGGCTACGGGGCTCCCGGAGAGGGCAAAAGGAGCGTGGGAGCAGGGTAAGGTCGGTGGAGAGGCGGTGCTGGCTGTTGCGGAGGACAGTCAGTCGAGGTGGGCGGCGACACAGAGCGACGACATCCAGGCGCGGCGGGGAGGGCTGCTCGGGGGCAGCAGGATTCAGTGGTGCCTGAGCCTGTCGCTGGTCGCAGGTCGTGGAGAGCGTCTCTTGGCGGGCGTTGCTTACGTACAGTCACAACGTTTGAGCTGCTCAGCACCTTCCGCCCGTGGTTTTACTTAATATTGTATATGTCCAGCTGGGCTATGCGCTGCCCGGTTGCACTGCTTAAAAGGAGAGAATCGTTTATGTTATAAAATGCCAACGCTAAAGGGGACCGGACTGGCGGACGGACAAGACGAAAAAAATAAATAAAAAACGTCAAGAGGGCGAGAGAGAGAGAAAGAGAGAAAGAGAGAAAGATAGTGAGAGCGAGAGACCCCCCCCCTGATGGATGATGGATACGTAACCAAAAAACCGTGTAATCTTCGACTCGCAGCCACGATGCGCCGGCGTCCTTCTTGCCCATCCACGACCACCTACCTAACTACCTACTCCTTCTCGTTCGTCGCCATGGCCTCCGTGACTGTCCTCGTCCTCCTCGGCCGCCCGCCATGCTTCGATACCGGCCCACCGAGATCCGCCTGACGCCTCAGGAGATCGATGCCACCTTCAGCCGTTTGGCAGCGCGGCCGCGGCAGGGCGCAGCAACTGCTGCGAGCACAGGCCCTCGCATCCGTCGTGGCCCCAGGCGCCTTCGCGACGACTCCCTCGTGCACCCCAGTGCCACGGCCCATCCGCCGCCTTGTACTGCGGAACGCGTGCCGCCTCATCCGGACGGCCATGGCCCTGAGAAGCAAGCAGTGCCTCAATGCGATGGCTGTGAAGATACAGAGTCCGCCTTCCCCGTGTGGTTCCACCCCAAATTAGCTACAACTTCACCTGGCATCGGCGATATCTTCAACATGGCTCAGCTGAATGCCGCCTTGGGAAATTCAGAAGCAATCCCGTCGATCCGCCTCCCCTCTCCCCAAGGCTCAAGGCATCATTCCCCCAAGCGTCATTCTCTACCAATCCTGCCAAGTCTCCCATCTTTTGGGCCCCTCGTACGCTCGTCGAGTCTTGGTCAAGCTTCAGAACACAGCAGTTGTAACGCGTCGCGTACCCCGTCTTTCCGGCTCAGCCAGGACTCTACTCCAGATCTTTTGCTTCCCTTACTGAAGTCTACAGCCTCTACCACTCACCAAAGCAGGCAAACCAGTGTCAGTTCCTCCGTTGATAACTCTTCGGAAAACAGTGCAGCTATTCTCGACTTGATTCGCCAGGATCTATCCCCGCTTGACCGTCTTGAGCAGGGACTTAACTCAGAGATTCCTCACGCCCCATCTGCACGTAGTTCTCGAGCATCGTCGATCCCCCGAGGCGAGCTTAGGATGCCTCTGTTCAATTCGCCAGAGCGTCGATCTCCTCAGCATCGCAGGTTTGCTCGATTTCGCAATACGCCCACCTTTGCAGAATTGCCGAGTGCATCACCAGCATACCGCGACGGTCTATCTTCACAAATCGGCTTCGAACCATCTTCGCCAGTGACATCATCCGAAGCTTTCGTTGATCGCTATCCCGGCAATGATAGAAATTACAGTCTTGACCCTCGTCAGTCTCGCCTGTCTGTACCTATTTACGGTGCTACGTCCATGCCTTCTCTGCATCTCTCACGCCCGTCCCGCCGACGTGCATCTGGCTACACTCTGTTCCATACGGCACGGAACAACCACGGCGGAGGTAATCCCTGGGTACGAGGAGGTGAAGGAATGGCAGAAACCCGTCGTAATACGATCAGCGGACAGCGGCATAGAGCGCACCGATCCGTCTCTGCTAGAATGCTTCCCCCGTGGCAGGACGAGCAGGAAAATTCCGGACGCGCTGAACACTTGGAAATGATGGCAGAAGCTCAAGTACGCAGAAGATATGTCGAACAGACTGACAACGGCAGGCTGGACAGGACACCGCCTGGCTTGGGCAGATTCGAAAGAAGGATCTTCCAAGAATAGCAGTGAATTGCAGGAGATCAGGCACAGCATCACAGCATAAATTAACTTGTGAATTGGTAGGTAATATGGAGGCTAACCTGGAACGTAGGCTCAGAAGACAGCAGTAGAGGTAGTTGGGTCAGAGCAATGCAAACCAGTATCGAATCGTACGTCAGAGTTGACTGGACGAAAGTGGCATTTTCGAGCCTGTGATACGGTCGAAGGGGGTGGGTCCCACTATATCTTCTAATAGCTATAAATAGCTTTAATATTTTGATAGAAGGGGTGAGAACGTTGCCGGCCGTATGAAGTTAACAATGTACGAAGATGCGAGAGCGTTTTCAAGAGGAATGAAGGTGCCGAGGAACAAGGGTACAAAAATATTACGGCAAGGAAGCATGTTTTGTTGGTTATGCCCCTTCTCCGCAACATCCGGTCCGTTAAGGTGATAGTCGAAAGGTTGAGAAGCGGAGCAGAATGTAAGAAGTGCAAAACGGTTGCCTTGCTGCCTGACAAATATGCACGTTGCCAGAAGATTCTACGCGTCTAGATGCGCCTGTTCAGTTTGTATACGAATAATGCGGCGTCGATGTTGCCCGCCCCTGGTCGGCGGCACTCTTGACACCTCCGCACCCTCCGATCATCGACCCTCCCCGCTCCCACGACCGGGCTACCTCCAGCTATGGCACACTTCGCTGAACAACTCAAGGAGCGAGGAAACACACACTTCAAGAATGGCGACTACCTCTCGGCCGAGGTGTTGTATGGCCAGGCCATCCAAAAGAACCCGGATAATCCGCTGTTGTTCACGAACCGCGCCAACGCGCGCCTGAAGCTCGAGCATTGGCATGATGTGATAGACGATTGCTTGAAGAGCATTGAGCTCATGAGGGAGAACATGAAGGCCTACACTTACTTGGGTAGGTGCATACTTACCATGTAGCTACTGGCAGTACCTAAGGAATACCGAACTGCATGCAGGCAATGACGCTGCGTGACCTCCGCTCAGGAGTTAATCACTAGAATTACACGGACTCATTTGCTGCAACCCTTAGGTTGAATGCTTCTCGAAATATATACTCGGAAGACAAAACTGGGTAAACTGGCTGACAGTAACCACGTACAGCTCGCGCGCAACTTGCCGTCAACCACCCGAACGAAGCGCTCTCCTCGGCGCTTATGGCGTACGATTTCTGCATCAAGTCGCAGACCCCCACACGTAACGCCGCTACAATATCAGCCTTGGTCCTGCAATGCAAGAAAACAAAATGGGAAGGGAGGGAGAGGGAACGGCTTAGAAGGAAAAATCCAATGCTGGCCGAGTTGGAGGATCTGATTGAAGCAGAAGTAAACCGCGAACGGTCAAACATTGACCAAAAAACGGAAAGCGGCGAGATGGGTTCAGTGGAGGCTGCCGAGGAGCGTAATAGCCTTGCTGAGACGACGGCACGGAAGATAGAGGATTTGAGGTCCATCTTTGCCATTGCCGACCCGGACAACATGACGAAGCGCGAAGTTCCCGACTATCTGATAGACAGTATCACCTTTGAGATTATGCATGACCGTAAGTGTGATCGTCAATTTGTGCACGTTAAAGTGTGCATGTTAAGCTAACATGGAGCAGCCGTTGTCACCAAGAATGGGCACTCTTACGAAAGAGCCACTCTTATTGAGCACCTGAAGCGCAGCGCCACCGATCCTCTAACCCGTGAACCTCTTAAGATCGAGGACCTGCGGTCAAATATTGGGCTTCGCGAAGCATGCAACGAGTTCTTTGAAAAAAATTCTGGCTGGGTGTACGATTGGTGATGGGCAGTGGACAGCGTAGCAGACAGGGCATCGGAATGCTCGTGTGCAGACCAAGCGAAAGCATTCCTAGGCGTTAAAGCGAGCTGCAATAAGGCCCCTTTACATACTTTGCTTCTGGCGACGGATACCCTTGGCAGTTCTCTAGTCGATAGTTCCAGCTTTCCGTATTTGGGCGATGCCTTTGGTTCACATTGCGGGGTAGGCAAACAGAAACAACAAGTACATATATGCAGTAATAATTCACAAGCTTATTGCATATAATTTTATTTTGCTTCTACACACTTTCCCAATAAGGAATAGGAGCATCGGGCGGGTCGCGTGCCCGAAGCGCCAAAATCCGTCAGCCCCGACACCCCGGTCCGCTGAATAAGCGCTAAGCGAGACATCGCGAAACCCACAACTCTCGATTTTCCGCAGCGCTGTTTGAAGACCCCGTAGAACGACCAAACGACGACAGCGCCGGGAAACAGTCAAGGTGCGTACGGAAACAGCCTTCAAGACGTCGCGATTGCAACACGCCGCATTTCGACTCACTCGGCGATGCCGCTATTTCCACGACCGACGATCGGAGACTGACTTTTTCGACCAACAGATGGGTGCGATCAAGTACGTCGAGGAACTTCAAAAGAAGAAGCAGTCTGATGTGCTGCGCTTCCTGCTCCGCGTTCGCTGCTGGGAGGTATGAAAGACTACCATCGCCTCGTCCTCGAGGTGACTCTTGATGCCACTCGTTGAACTTTGCTGAGAGTGCATCAATCTGCAGTACCGCCAGCTGAACGTCATCCACCGCGCCTCGCGCCCCTCCCGCCCCGACAAGGCCCGCCGCCTCGGATACAAGGCCAAGCAGGGCTATGTCATCTACCGCATCCGCGTCCGCCGCGGTGGCCGCAAGAGGCCCGTCCCCAAGGGTGCCACCTACGGTACGTTCGATTGCTCCGCACAAAGGACCTCGCAATTTCAGCAAACAAGATCTCGTGGATTAAAAATAAATGGCTGATTGGACTCGATGAATAGGCAAGCCCACCAACCAGGGTGTGAACCAGCTCAAGTACCAGCGCTCGCTCCGTTCCACCGCCGAGGAGCGTGTTGGTCGCAAGTGCGCCAACCTGCGCGTTCTCAACTCCTACTGGATCAACGCCGACTCGACCTACAAGTACTACGAGGTCATCCTCGTTGACCCCCAGCACAAGGCCATCCGTCGCGACGCCCGCATCAACTGGATCGTCAACCCCGTCCACAAGGTACGCGTCAATGGGAAGCTCGGCATGGGAGGACAAAAGGCTAATTTGGTACACAGCACCGCGAGTCCCGTGGTCTCACCGCCACCGGCAAGAAGTCCCGTGGTCTCGGCCGCGGCCACAAGTTCAACAAGACCTCTGCTGGTCGTCGCAAGACCTGGAAGAGGCACAACAGCCTGTCCCTCTGGCGCTACAGGTAAACGCGTTGAGGATGGAGGTGGAGAAGGTTGCTTGGCTGTTTCTAAAAATCTCACAAGTTCTCGGGAATGGGCGTACCTGCACGCGACTGAGGCTGTCCATCAGGTAGAAATGAATGGACCTTTCCGGCACATTACCGTGTTGACGAAGATAATGATTCTTTTTCTTTTTGCAAACAAAGTGGCTTTGCTCGTGGTGTGGCGTGTGATGAAGGCAATTTGCCAGCGGCGTGCTCTGACCAAGGATCGCTGGCAAGCACGCGCGCAGCAACACGTAAGCCTCGCGGGCCGCAACCCGCGCGTCGAGTAGGATGGATCATGGAGGATTGAGCTGCCAAGGCTGCGGCCGACAACGGCCGCTTCCGGCGGGTGGGCAGTCCAAAAGCCGGATGCGGAGCTCTCAAGGACGAGGACGAGGACGAGGAGTGACGCGAGTGGGCGCTCCAGACCCTGCCCGCCCGGCCGGCATGCACGACAGCAGTGCCTGCAGGTTTGCAGGGGCACTCGTCTGTTCACCCTCGCGAAATAGCTGGCCGTGAAGATCTGCAAGCTACTCTGAAACGCCGCCGGGCTTGCCATTGACGGGTGACGGAACCGCTGACGGGCTGCCAGAGCCGTGCATACGAACCTCTCAGTATACCTGCTTTCGTGCTTATGCTCGCGCAGCTGCTTAGGAGCTCGTCGCCGGATCGGACTGCAGCAACATCCCACCTTCCCAACGACTAAGAACGTCAGGCACGAGTAGGCACGTCCTGGACCCCCTCCCCGCCCTCATCTTCCGCCGCTGCTACCTGCTTCTCCGTCCTTCCCACACATCACTAACTCTCCGCCACAGATCCGTCCTGCCGCCTATTCTTTGCCTCGTCCACCTTCCTTGTCTCCATGACTCCAGATGCCTTCGTGGAACAAGCAGCATAGTCGTTCCGCCAGCCATCCGTTCCCCGCCCTCTTTGGCAGCAAGAAGAGGAGCGGCGGCAACCTCAATGGTGATTACAGCCCTCCCGACGACGACAAGTATCTACCGTATACCACTTACGGCGACGCCGGAACCATGCGGAGGGACAGCGGCAAGCGCGACGACCGGGACCTCGAAACGAGCGCTTGCATGACTTGTGACTCCAAAGTCAAATACCCGCGAGGCCTGAAGACGTTCCGCTGCCCAGGATGCCTAACGGTCACCGATTTGGTCCCCATACCCGGCGAAAGGGGCGACGGCAACCTCAAATCGTACCCGGGAATAGGCCCAAAGCGTCCCATGCCTTTGTCCGTGGAAAGAACCAGGAACATCATCGACCGGTGCCTGACGCTCTATCTCCAAGCCCGCTGCGAACAATGCGCTAGCCCTACGAAGGAGACGGGCGAACCGCGCACTTCCCCGATGCCCATTAGGGAACGTGCGTACAGTGCCTCTCGACCAGCCATCTCATTGTCACCTTCGGAAACGGATGGGTTCGGCCTTGGCAGAGGACCAAGGTCACCTACAAAGCCAGGGCCTAGCCTTCAACCATCGGTCGAACACCCTGTCGCCCCAGACAGCCAGTATATGCCTCCACCAGGACCGCGGGTTTCTCCTCACCAACCGCCACCAAACAGGAGGCCACCGCCGCCTCCGATATCTGGGCATGGGCCGTCACCTATCCGCAACCCCCAAACATCTCCCCGAAAGGTTCCGAGCCCCATGCATCCGCCACCTCCCGGGGCTCCTCTGATGACTCCGGGTGAGGCCGCCGCACGGCGGCGATATGAGCATATCAAGACGATTTTCAAACCTTTGGAAGACTACATCATCACAAGCTTCGGGAATCACGCATGCTTAAATACTGCCTTTTCGACCAGCAGACAGCGACCCTCGGTAAGGACGCGCAGCGAAGGATCAGCGGATAGGACTGGTCCGGCCCATGCCAGACCTCAGAACCCCATACCTCAAGCAGATTTTCTTCCGGAAGAAGCTGATCCCAGGATGCTCATGCTCGGCGATATTGGAGAAAATGGTTCTTGGTGGACCGGTCATGCGGCAAAGGAAGGGAAAGAGCCTTCCGGACATCAACTACCCGTACGAGGGAAATCTGCTAGGGAGGTAAGGCAGCTCGTGAACCATAAGTCTGCTCTTATAAACTGGGCAGAGTTGGAATGTTGGTATGGAGTTGTCATAAACGCGGGCATGAATTGGAAGAAAAAGCTGGAAAGTATTCCTGGGGGAACAGACCTTCCGAAAGCTGTGATTGGGGATGCAGATGAGGAAATCAGAGATGCGAGGATCCATGCGCAACGAACGTTGCTGAAGGTTACAGAGAATATCCTCAAGCGTCCCGGGCGTCCTCTGAAAGACCCCGAAGACATTCGTTTTCTCCTTATACTCCTTTTCAATCCGCTTTTGCATACAGCCGTTACCAGCACTAAAGCCCCAAAGTCCCCGCTGCAACGGCCTCGACAAGGATCCATCCCACCTCCTCGCCCCTCACTCGATGTTCCCTCAGCTCCTTCCGGTCCATCCCCAGAACGGTCACCAAACTCTGCCCACCAGGAACCCGGGCAGCACTCTGGCATCATTAAAAGGATCATTGGGATGCTGGCCAACCTGTCTAATGAGTGTCATCGATATCTTACAACATGGTGCTCTAGGCTTTCAGAAGACCATTTCCGCCAACTCGTGGACCTGGTAGGCAAATTTGTCACCTATCGCCTCACTCGACAAAGAGGTCGAAAACGAAGCAATAGTGGAAACCCGACAGCAGGACTCATTCCGGAATTCAGTTCAAACGGAGCTACATCAGCACAGTTGCACGCCGCTCTAGGCTTATCGGGTGCGGCCAAAAAACCAAAGGAGGACCCAAAAGTCGAAGGATACAGCGATGATTGGCAGATTAAAGCTGCAGCCAAGGTCATGGCCATTCTTTTTGCTGCAAACAACACGTATCATGCGCGAAAATCAGAACCGGTCAACCATGCTCCGTCCATCGCTGGTCAACCAAGTGCTGGTCTTGCTGCACAAGAGCGGGCGAGGGCGCATGGGCAGTTGCTGCCCACCTCAGACTTTTACAACACGCTGTTAGATTACCACGACCTCATTGCAGATTTTGAAGCGTGGGAGAAACGGACGGCAAAATTCTCTTTCTGTCAATATCCCTTCTTTCTCTCCATCGGTGCCAAAATCCGTATCATGGAACACGACGCAAAGCGGCAGATGGAAAACAAGGCCCGCGAGGCCTTTTTCGATAGCATTCTGAGCAACAAGAACCTCGAACAGTACCTTAACCTCAAGGTCAGAAGAGAGTGTCTCGTCGATGACAGCTTGCGGCGCATCAGCGAAGTTGTCGGCGGCGGTTCGGAAGATATCAAAAAGGGTCTGAGAGTCCAATTTGTCGGAGAAGAAGGCATTGATGCTGGTGGCTTAAGGAAAGAATGGTTTCTCTTGTTGGTTAGGGAGCTGTTCGATCCCATGCACGGTAAGTCAAGCATTCAGGTTGAGTGGCACCGCAGCTAATTGGACGGCCAGGAATGTTCGTCTACGATGAAGACTCCCACTTTTGTTATTTCAATCCGCATACCTTGGAGATGTCAGACCAGTTCTTCCTTGTCGGTGCTGTGCTCGGACTTGCCATCTACAACTCGACGATCCTAGACGTAGCTCTGCCTCCTTTCGCATTCAAGAAACTACTCGCCTCAGCTCCGGCCAGGAGTAGTGTGGCTTCGTCGTCACGCAACACGATGCATTACACACTTGAAGATCTTGCTGAATTTCGTCCCGCGCTGGCCCACGGCTTAAGACAACTCCTGGAGTTTGACGGGGATGTCGAGGCCACCTTCTGTCGCGATTTTGTCGCCGAGGTGGAGCGTTACGGGACAGTCAGCGAAGTGCCACTGTGCACGGGTGGCGAGAGGCGAGCCGTGACGAACAAGAACCGGCAAGAGTTTGTGGACCTGTACATTCGGTTCATGCTAGATCAGCAGGTGGCTCGACAATTCGACCCATTCCGACGCGGCTTCTTCACCGTTTGCGGCGGTAATGCCTTGTCTCTATTCCGTTCTGAGGAGATTGAGCTCCTGGTTCGGGGCTCGGACGAGCCGCTAGACGTGGCGTCGGTCCGGGCCGTGGCCGTGTACGAAGGGTGGAAGGAGAGGGAGCGCAAGGTGGAGCGGCCGGGGGAGACGGTGCTGGTGCTGCGGTGGTTCTGGGACATATTCGAGGCGGCCAATCCGCGGGACCAGCGCAAGATCCTCAGCTTCATCACGGGAAGCGACCGGATCCCTGCTGTGGGAGCGACCAACCTGGTGATCAAGCTGACGTGCCTGGGCGAGGACAGCGATCGGTTCCCGGTGGCGCGGACGTGTTTTAATATGCTACAGCTATACAAGTACCGCAGCCGGGCCAAGTTGGAGGAGAAGCTGTGGCGGGCAGTGCTGGAGAGCGAGGGCTTTGGGCTCAAGTGAGTAAGAGAGTGACAGGGACAGGGATGGAAGCCAGGGTTGGTGAGCGGTGTGTACAACATTGGGTTGACTCCGACTCTCGGGCACGTCGGGGCGTTGCGGAGCTTTTTTTTTTTTTTGTTTTGGCAGGATGTACATGGCTTTGTTTGGGTTGATGTCATGGGCCGGGCGATAGATTAACAGCACGAGCGGCTGCCCTGCATCCCGGCGATGGGCGCGGCTGCCGGCCGGGGGGGCGCGCATCGCGACTTCCACTGTCCACTTTCGACTCTGCGACACGCACGGCAAGTGCCACCCGCGCTCCCGCCCATGACGACGCCCACCAGCGCGCGCCTGCTTTAAACGCGCCGCACCACCACCAGAAGCCGGGAGAAGAGTTGCCCTCACCAAACCCTCCCGTGCCTTTTACCCACCATTGTCACTTTCTGTATAACATTTCCAGCTATTAGGCTGTACATTGTTCACCATGGACACCACCTTCATCACCATCCACGGTGAGTCGTCTGCCTTGGCCACCCAGCCTGCAAGCCTCGGTGCTGACTCGTGTATGTTCGTCACAGACCTGTCCCGTGACGCCCGCATCCTCTACGCCTCCGACTCCATCGTTGATATCCTCGGCCACACGCCTGATGAGGTTGTCAACCGTCCCGCCTGGGATTTCTTCCACCCAGATGAGCTCCCCGTCGCCCAGGACTTCCATAGTCGCGGCGTCCTGCTCGACAAGGCCGCCGTCCTGGCTTATTGCCAGATCCGGAACCGCCAGGGCGACTGGGTTGGCTGCGAATGCTGCTTCTCCGTCGTCTACGATGTCATGGTCTGCTGCACCAGCATCTACCGGAGGGGCTCCATCAGCCAGAGTAAGTTCCTTGGTCGCCACCGACGTTGGGCTCTCACGCTAACGCCACACGCTCAGAACGCGCCGTCGAAGCTCCCGTCGTGCGCAAGCTGTTTACCTCTTCCCCGAAGGACCCTAGGTACCACATGTTGACCCACCTTTCTTCCAAGTTCAACCTTGGCCCGCAGCAGCAGACTCATGAGCCTCGTGCTGCCCTGTTCCTCAATCGCTTCACTCGGACCCTTACAGTCATGTACGCTACCAGTGGCATTGAGCAGGTCATTGGCATCCCCAGCGCAGTGATGAAGGGAAAGAGCTTCTATTACTGCATCCAGGAGAACTGCTTGGAAGATGCTGTCAGAGTGCTTGAAACAGCCAAAGGCAATGATTCTATAGCCTATCTCCGCTTTTGGTTCCGCGACCCTAGGGCCGTCGAAGGTGCGGGGGCCTCCTCGGAAGATGAGACGGACGAAACCATGACAGATGTCACGACCGAGGATGAGGAAGAAAGTGATGCTGGTGCTCGCCGAAGAGCTCCTCCAGCATCTCTTCCGACGCAGGGCTCATCATCCACCACCATGTCCTCAGGCATGGACTCTAGTACCTCTGCCGATGATTCTCGGCAGTCTTCCAGTGGTAGTGGCGGCAGCTCAAGCTTATCTGCTTCGCAGCCTCACTCGGGAGATCATCCCATCTCGCCCGCTGCCAGTAATGCAGAGAATGACCCGATCGAGCTTGAAGCCGTGGTCTCCTGCACCTCTGATGGCTTGGTGGTTTGTCTTCGCCGTGCCCGCCCAGCTATGCCGCCATCTACCCAGCCTCAGCCATCGGCCGACGCCCAGCCACAGTACCCCCGCGGCCTTTTCGCTGCACCCTGGGGTCAGGAACCTGTCTTCCTGCCTCCGCTGCCGCAACCCTATGCCAATGCTGCGCGCATGGGTCTCCAGCCGCCAATCCAACCAGAGATCTCAACCTTCGGTGGGCCAGCCCAGGCCGATTTCATGCAGTCCATCAGGGACGTGGCGGTATTTGCTTGGGCGCTTACAGGCATCAACGGATGCCTTGCGGAATACACTCGCGGCAAGCCCGCTGGAGAGTCTCAGCCACCTGAGGGTTTCCCGGTCTGGGAGCCGGAAGGTGGTATGGCAGGCACCTTGCGCGAAATTCACAGTTCTATCAGCTCTAGTAGCGGAAACGGACCGTATCCTAGCCCTGGAAGTAGGGATCCTTTCGGTGATCCTGGACTGGATGGAAAGAGGTTCTCTTAGTGGGTGGACGTGCCACCCTGCCGGTTGTGCCACTCAATGGCTGGAAAGGTTGGGTTACGCGGAGTACAGACTTGACGGTTCTCTCAGCCAGTCACACGAGCAGACGATCGACCGATTGTCTAGCGAGGGGTTTCTCATTCTTTGACATGCACAATATCTCTCTGCTTACGGGCGATGGCAGTTTCATGGGTTCGTCGTAGGTCACCCTTGGCCATCAAGGTGAACAATTGGCCACGGAAGAAATGTGCGGTCTTTTTTCCTTGTTTGTGCAGCACCATTTATCGTACAATGACGTTCCCGCCGCTGCAGTCATTTCTACGGCTGGGTCCTACTATTGTATTTACGACAGGGTAAATAGCTCTGCCGGCGCGCTCGGCGCCATTGTCGAGGATCTCACTAAAAAAAAGCAAAAGACACAAATCCATACAATCTTCACATCAAAAGCTGATACAGAGTCGCCCAGTATTTTCGAGCCTGGGGGTTATCGGGGGCATCTGCGCGCATCCGCCCGACGTGCACAAACCCCCTCCTCGCCTCGTTTGGTCGTTTGCAGCCTGCCGCAAAGCGCGCGGTACAGTACACAGGCACCATGCACCCCGCCATGCCTTTTAAGATACGCATGCGGCGTGGCCTGCAGTAGAATGCTGCTGCCGCTGCCGCTGCTACTCCCACTCTTACTCCTACTCCTACTGCTGCAATGCGACATCACGCACTACATGCAGACATTACTTGGCTGATGACGGGGTCCCAACCTCCTATCACGACTGTATGTACTTGCTTCGCCGCGGGTGGGATGCTTGACCTCCCTGGTGCGTGTGTCATATACACCTCGGGACGCAAGGTGTTGGCGTGCGACAGACTGGTGGCATGTATGTGGGTAATGCCGAGGGGATGGGACGGTAGCAGTATGAGCGAGGAACGGTAGGTTGGACGACGACAACGACGACGCCACCGCCCCCGCCCCCGCGGATGACGTGGATTTCCGTTTGGTGCGGGTGCATGGTGAGGCTGCGGCGGCGGCCTGGCATGGCATGGAATGAAAATGCGATGTCGAGCATGTGAGTCCAATGGTGGGGTGTGCGTAACAGGGGTAAGGAGCTGAGGCGTCCGCGTGGAGCTACGTACGATGCCAAAGGGGGTTTGGCTGTTTGTATAAGGGGTAGGGACATATGGTCAAAAAGTGGCGTGCATAAGAGCGAGGCAAGCAAGCAGGCATCGAAACGTGCAGCCGACGACAACGTCCGCAAGGCTGCAACCGATACCCGTCTACTCGGTACGTACGTATGTATGTATGTATGTACGCACGGCCAGAGAGGGTATGTAGGTCTCAGCTCCACTCAGTGGCTTTTTTCTTGGGTACTTGGACACACGTTGCAGCATGGATTGCTCGCTCGCGAGGCGTGGGAACACAGGCGCGGGCGCGGTGAGGCATGTTTAAACTTTCTGCGCAAATCCGCACGTAGGTACGGGCACGCCAGCTTGTCCCATTTGTTTGCAGGAGGCACTCTAGTCGGGCTGGTGGCACTGGGCCTCGTATTCTGTCAGTGTCAGCCAGTCAATTCAGTCGGGCAGCCGTATGTGCCTTCCCAGTCAACCGGCTCAGCCTGACGGAGGGTTGAGAACCACACGTTCACACACACACACACACACACACACACACACACACACGCACGCACGCACGCACGCACGCACGCACACACACACACACAAGGCGGGAGATGTGCAGTACTAGCAGGTACATATGTACCTAGGCAGTGCGACACAGCAGCAGCAAGCAAGCCGACGGAACAGGAGCGCCGGGATCTAGCATGCGGGACACAGGCACACATACACACACAGACCGTCATAGCCACGAAAGCCGAAGCCGAGCAGCGGCTCCGTCGCCCGTGTCGTTAGTCGAGGCCGAAAGCCCCTAGCCAGGGCGATCCCCCGGACCGGCACCCACGCGCGAAGGAGGTGCGCCCGAAGCCCCGAGGTCCGCGTAGTGGGCTTGCGGGTATTCGGGAGGTACATTCCGCCGCGGGGGGGGTGACCCTGGTCAGAGGCCCGGTCGGAATGGGCTGGCTAGGTAACTAACGGGAAGCGCGGCAGGGCGGGAAGGATGGGAAGAGAGACGTAACTACTGCAAGGCAAACAAGGCGACGGCGCACACGGTCTGTCCATCGATGATGCCGTGCGCGAGGGAGCCCGGCCGGGATGCTTGGGGCATTGCGGAGTGCACGTGCTGTGATTGGGAACGTGGTCCAACATTGCTTTTTCCTCGACCGCTGCTGACGGGGTTTTGCTCCGAAGTTGATCGCCCCGACGGTCCAAACGGGTTATGAGACCTGTCTCATGGCCGGCATGGAACCGCCATGGGGAAATCATAAGCGGCTTAACCACTCGGTGGCGAAGATCATCGACGCCCGATCCGTTGAGCCAGCTCTTTTGCTTCAGCAATCGCAAGGGTTTCAATCCTTCTTCCATATTGCTCTCCCCTTTCAGCCTTCCGCGTAGTACTGATCTTTGCGCAGTGACTGACCCAGCGATCAAGAAATCCTAGAGCTCTCGCCCAGAGATCGCGCTGCCGCAACCTCTCTTTGCCTTACACAAACTTCATTGTTTCTCTGCCCATCCAGGCCTAGATCTGACCTTCACCCCTATTCCCACCTCCCGAAGAGGCACACCATCCCGTGGTCCCCGACTGCAACTGCCCATTCTCCGCCGGTGCTCCACGCCACCTGCCTAGTCGCAAACGTCACCTTTGGGACGACTATCTGTTTGTGCGCTGGTATCAGTTGGAACGGGTTCGAGATGTCAAACCTCTTATCCCGTTCGCCCGAGTGGTTTGACGGGGCTGATGATGATACCGCGCCGCTGGATGATGCGTTGGACGTTATGCTGCTCTCACGGTTGGCGTTGTCTCGACCGAGGCCTAGTCCTGGACCGGAGTGGTCTACCCGCTTGCGCTTGCGGGTGCCACTGCCATGACCATCATCTTTGTGGGGTTCTGCGCTGGCCTCCTCGAGTCTTTGGAGATCCCACCAGAACAGCCTACTCTTTTCGTTGCCAGCAACCAATATCGGGTGCTTATCAGGCATATGGAAAAGGCCGAATCTCATGTAGAAGAGCTGTGTAAACGGAAGAGCAAATGTTAAGAGCCGCTGGAACCGCGTTCCAAAGGCAGAGTACGTGCTGCCGTGTGCCGTACTATCTTCTGCTGTATTGCTTGGGTTCATCGGAGCATTCTGTGCGGACATTGAGATAGGCGGTGGAGGAGAGGAGCTGTTGAAGCCATCGATTTTCCAAAGTAAAATTTGATTCTCCTTGGCAGACTTGGAGATGATAAGGTCCCCGTAAAAGCGGATGCTTTGGTATGTCAGTATGGATGAAAAGCGAGATGGGTAGCATAACGTTTTGATGGATGAAATATGCAGACGATAAACGCAAAAGAACTTACCAGTCCACATAATCAGTGTGGATCTCGGTCGAGGAAAAGTGAGGGTAGTGTATAATGTTCACTTTATCACTCCCCGTGTTTTCATCAGGAAGTTTAGGAACAACCCACTTATTTCCCAGATTAGTGATATGGAATGCATGGCGGACAGTTGCACTTACAAGCTTGATCGAGGTGTCCAAGGAACCAGACACAAGGTATTTACCTGAGTGGTGAAAACACTATTGATGTCAGAGGAAACGAGAAAATTGAAGGGGTATACAGACGATGCTTAAAATTCCCTGTCTATGGCCTTCTTTGCCGCTCATTATGGCTGAGCAGGGTTGCTTCTTGTACTCTGGCTCCAAGTTCCATAGCCTTATGGCATGGTCATCAGCAGCCGAGGCAAGGATATGAGGCGATATGGGTGAGGTCACAAGACAGTTGATCCCCTATTCTAATTCAGTATAAATGCAAACTCAGGCCATTCAAGAAACCTACCTCACCGTGTCCTTTTAGTTGCTAAAATAGAATTAGCAAATAACTCAATTGTACGGTGGCAGCAAGCATGCAACAACGTACTCGCACAAGCTTCCCGGTCCGGACATTGAAGATTTTGATGCAACGAGGACGATCTCCACCAGCGCAAATCAATGCGTCTCCGGTCCTAGAATCCTGGGACCAAGCAATGCTACTCAAGGCTATGTCCTAGAAGGTTTGTCAGCAAATGAACAGACGCCTCATATGTCGCGACTGCGAACCGCTTCATCCTTGAACTCGCGTATGATCTCAATGCCTCCGAGCTTCCCTCTCACGGGGCGGCAGATAAATATCTGTAAAAATCAGCTACCGGCCTGGCTCAAGAAAGTGAAACTTCATACGTGGGGTCCGCCAGCGACAGCAAAGACAGGGTCTTTCCCAGGCGCAGTATATGGGTAAAATTGGACGTCGTACAACTGGGCTATGGTGAGTCAGATATGACGCTGCACAGATGGAAGATAAGACTATAAACACACTATTTGAGTTGCCGTTGGAGCCCTGTTTTAAAGTTCAGTTAAGTTCTGGACAAAGACTGGGCCAAAGTCGGCGTGGAATGACACGTACGACTTGTCTTAAGGTAGCCTTCAAATTAGGTAGGTCGCCAGGCGCTGGAGGCATTGTGGACGAATTGAGAGGTGAAAGCCGATGTAGTAGAAGTTTACGCGTCCCGGGAAGCAACTGGCGTTATATGTCTGCTACGGTGAGCAAACACGGGCGTTTGTCGTAGGTTGAGAACGCGTCAAGTCTACGCGAGAAGCCGGGTGCGAATGCCACTAGCGCCCGCGCACTAGTACCTACAGAGTAACCCTTTCTTCTAACCATCAACATTTAACCCTTCATCTCGGGAAACAGACAGATATAGTATTGCCATTGCTGTTTTATCAACTTATTTTCACATAAGATCGTACATGATTTTCTTCGCTGCATTTTATCCTACAGATTGGCATCCGCCTACGCTGCCCTAGATCTTGCTTTAGATCTTCGGCGAGCTATTTAAATGCCGCGGAGAATAAGTTGTTCTGCCTCTTGAATCTCATTTACTTATATCATAACTTATGGCCTAGGATGGTTTTCTAAGAGGAACTCATACTCGCGCGGTGCCTACCATGGCTGGTGCCACTCACTACCTCGTACCTGCCTGCTATTGTTAGGTATTATAAGCGCCACCTCTCGAATGGACAACTAAATTTCCCGACCTGTGGGACATCTACTCGTCGCAGAAAAAATGCTACCTGGTCTACCTACATGAATGTGGAAGTTACGTGATGATAACCTCACTGTTGCTTCCACTAAATATATAAATAAACGAATTGTATATGAGAACAAATATACGATATAGCTTCACACGGACTAGACAGACTTTGTTCTTACCGATTCGGCATTACCTATTTAAGATAGCTCTAAGACTGCAGGTTCTCATATGTATTCCGTAAGGGGGCGGGCTTTGTTAGTATAGAAGCGAAGAAGAAATAGCTTTTAAAAAGAATAAAATTGTTTGAGAAATTAGTCTTAAATTTTTGAGTGACGAAGTTAGGTACGGAAGGAGGCAAGGAAAATCTAAAACTATATAAAAACTAATGAGTTGTGATCCTACCCATTAAAGGCCCTATCTATATGTATGATTTATCGGTTTGAGTTTTTCGTGCTTGATATTTATTTGGATGTCTTGAGTAAATACCTATGCCATCGAGTTACGCAAATGTTTGCGACCAACGCTTGGTATATAGATGGGAGCTAGTGCATATTTAAGAGTAAAACAAAGAGTGTCATCACCTGTCATCATTTTAAAGAACAGCCACGCAATATAGCCGGCGCTGCTTTTCTCAACACAAATACCGGCGGCAGTTGCAAAATATTCAGTCTATTCATCCTAACCGGACCAGCCTTGTTACTAAAACTCCTAAACAAGAATAATAAGCCCATTTGCTTTTTTTTTCAGCCACCCAGAAAGTAAAAAGCAGGGGCATGGGTAGAACTAGAAGCAAAAGCAGCGTACAATGCCATGCTGTTGTCGTGATCGCACCGTCTTACCATCGCCGCATCCATTCCATGACGCATTTCGATATGAACCGAAACCACAAGATAAAAAACCTATCATGTTCCTCACCATGCCGGGACCGTGGCTTGCGTGACAAGATAGAGAGATTTTGGGTTTAGCTGTTGAGGTAGTTACGGATTGCTCCTACACAGACGCAGCAAGTTAGGCGGCCATTCCAAAGTACTCTGCAAGTAAGAAAGAAGGAAACCCGGTCAACTCCCGCTCAAACACACATTAAAGGGGGCTTCAGACCTCGCAGGACCAAAGAATGGGAAAGGAATGTACGCACCTTGCAACTTTGTCGCGCCCTCTCCAAGCATCGCCGTAAGGTTATCCAAATCGTCGCCTGCCGTGACACCGAACTTGCGCACAAAGTCCTTTGCCGCCGACTCAAGATCACCGTAGTCGTCACCTGCAGAGCCATCGTCCTCAGGCCGGCCAAAGTAGGCATTGGAACTGATTGAGGTGGCGCCTTCGAAGCCTTGAAGACGCGTCTTGGCCTCGTTTTGAGCACTGGGGTCGAAGGTGCCACGGCCGAAGAACTCGTCGGAAGAGATACCCTTCTGGGTACCAAACTTTTCGCGGGCATAGCGTTCGCTGTCTGTATTGGGAAAAGTGATTAGCCGGTCGAAACCGTACGTATTCTTGATTGATTTCAACATACCGTCCTCCTGAGCACGGCTGGTTGAACCAAAGCCACCCATCTTCTTCGGCGCCGCAGCAGGCTTGCTACCGCCAACCTGTCCGAATCCAAGCCTTGTGACACCCATGCCCAAACGCTCAACATCACTGCTCTTATCGGATCCCTTTGTCGCACCAAAGCCTCCGCGAGGGCTTACTGGTGTTGGGCTGACGATGTTGGTTGGTTCCGCAGCCTTGGCCTTTGCCTTGGCTGCTTCCGCTTCCGCCGCCTCTCTCTCTGCCTCCGCATCATAACCAAGCTTCTCAATGCGTTCCGCCTCTTCCTTGGCCTTGCGCTCGGCTTCCTCGAAATCCAACACATCGCCACCCGTCGTCACCTTCTTCGCGCCCAATTTCGTCTTTTTCGCACCGAGAATGTTGGCCTTGCGTGGCGCTGCAGACGTGGCGGTCTTACTGCGAATGGCCGAAGCGGGAACAGCGCGTGGCGCGGCGGGCTTATCACCAGAGTCTGCGTTGAGAGGTGATTTGGGACGCGCGGCACCATTGCCGTTAGGAGCGTTGAGGAAGGGCGAGGCAGTCCGGCTGCCGGCAGCGGGGGTACCAGTTCTTGAGGGAGGGTTGCTAGGGCGCTTGATGGCAGGCTTGTCCCACGAGGAGAAGAAGTCATCTTCGTCGTTGGCGGGAGTGTTGGAGCCCGAAGTCTCAACGTCGGGCACATCTGTGATGACGACCTCGGCGGGGTAACTGAAGACAATGTTAGAATTGCCATAAAGAAATTCCGTAATTCAAATGCATACAGCTTGGCGTCGGCGGCGCATCTCCTGACCAACTCTTCCTTGTACTTGGTAGCAGCATTCGAGGTGTATTTCGCCTTGGGGTCCTTGCTGCTAAGGGCGGCGGAACCACCGTGGCTTTGGAAGTACTTGGTAGCCGACTCGTTGCCGCCAACCTTCATGATGCGAAGTTGATCCCATTGCCAGACTGTGCGCTTGGTTAGCATGATGGCGCAGCAATGCCCAAGATGGTGGCCGTACTGTCCAAGTTGGTGGAGCGCACAAAGGAGATGTGCACTCCCATGTTACGGTGGTTGGCAGAGCAGTCGAGGCATAGGTAAATGCCAAATGGGACCGAGGACCAGGTAGGGTTCTTTGCGCCGCAGTCAAAACATATCTGGCATGCGGTCAGCATTTACGCGCGGCGCTGAGACAGGCCAGGGGCGGACCTTGTTGGCGGCCTTGGTCTTGAGCTTTTCGAAGATTTTGCGAGACTCTTCCTTTGTGGCAGCCATGTTGGCGGTGGGCTGCAGAGGCGCGACAGAGAGGGGGGGAAGTTGGGCGTCGAGAGAACGGTGGTGGATGCGGAGGGCGAATGGAGATGAATGGATGGCTTGGGGGGTTGTGCAAGCCGGCGGCCGAGAGCCCTGGCCAGGCTGAAAGCCGCAAAGTGGCATAAACCCACGTGATCGGCCCGGCCCTCGCTCGCCCTCTGCTTATTCCCTTCTTTGCCTATTGGGGATCCTTGCCTTATTCCATATTATTTCCTCTATGTATCGTCGCGGCCTCTGGTTTGGATCTCCCCGAGCAGCGGCAGATCGATGCAGCCGAGCGAAACAAAAAACCCGCACTCTAGGTATCTCTCCTCGACAGCACGTGGCGGCGGTTCTCACTCTCCAAAAACGCCTCTGGCGTCCGCGCCATCCCACTCGACTCCAACTGTCACAGCTAAACACGCGCAGCACGAGTGAGACTGTGAGACTAATGGCTAACATGGCCTAAGCATACTCCATACATAAGTAGCGACGGATCTCCGCAACCGAGTGGAGCTATGACGCAGCCGACATCCCGCTGGGGTAGCACCGAGGCATAAACATAAGTTGACGACGGGAGACTTCTTCTTCCCCTCATCTCCCTCTCCAGCCCCTCATCTTTCCTACTTACTCCCATCTCCAGCAAGACAACATGTCGACTGCCAACGCTGGGCTCTTCTCCACCATCCGCCCCTTCGGCGCACCACCAACGCCTATTCTTTCCCTCATCCTAACCTATGCCCTCAACGTGATCGCCAGTCCTCGCCAGTACTATGGCCCCCTCTTGGGTGAGAACAACCAGGATCCCGCGACTCTGCTGGCGCGCGCAAAGAATGAAAAGGGCGTCGTGTCGCATGAGCAACAGGTCAAGATCACCCGATCCCAGGGTGCTGCAGACAACCTGAAGGAGAACATGCCTCTGTTCGTGGTTGCCAGCCTCGTCGGCTGGCTTGGAGGTGTCAAGCCGGAATACCAGAATTTGTACCACTTCCTCTGGCTTGTGGGAAGATACGGCTACAAGTACGCCTACTTGCAAGGCAAGGGTGAATTGAGGTCGGGCTTGTTGTGAGTATCCCAATGTCTCTTCCCCGTATTAAGGTTAGGTCTCTAACAATCGCCCAGCATGGTTGCCCAGATTGCGACGATTACAATGCTGATTCACGGCGGAAACGCATTGGCTGCCAAGACTCAGATCTTTGGTTAGATTTCGGTTGAGGTTTTGCAAACAGATAAATACGCCTATTTTCAATTACAACAGAAGCAGCATGTCTTACAACTATTGCCTCGTTAGAAGCTATTGACTTGTGATTCGGCCGTCCTTTACCGTCGTCCTTGCGGACCCGGCGTCGTAAACTACTTCTGCGACGCTCTTTCTATTCTTCCAATCCGCACCGGCGCTGCCGAAGATGATGAAATCTGCTGGATCGCCAGGTTTTAAGTCAAGAGTAGATTTACCGAGCCCTATTACTGCCTTTGCCCTGGTCGAGACACATTGCTATTGCTTGTTAGCCTAGGAAATGTGGTTGCAAGGTGACTACTCACGTAAAGAATTTCAGTATCCTTCTTGGTGCCCGCCTGGTAAATGCCAACTCCCAAACTTGCAACCGTGAGAGGATCGCAGTTACCCTGCGGTGTGAACGCGTTGCCAATGTTGTTGACAGAAAACGCTGCTTGGAAACCATGTTCTTGGATCATCTTCGGCACGTGCAGTGTTCCTCTGACATTGTTTTCGGTCCTCATCATGAACAGGTCACTTGTCGGTAATCCGACAAAAGACACCGGCAAGTCACCAACGGTCTGCTTAAGCCTTTGCCATTCGGCCTTTTCAAATTGCGTCAAACGAGTACAGTGACCCATTGTGATTCCTTTTCCGTTCCGGTCCAACCAGTGCGTCTCTTTGATGAGTTCCAGAGCATCCCATATAAAAGGCTCCTTGCTTTTGTCGAGATGATAGTCCATATGGAGATCAAGGAATTTCTCGTTGTCTAATGCCAACGTGCTGATCCACTGAACGTTCATTCCCATTCTGGACTTGTCGCTCTCGACATATGGCGTGCTGCCTAGCACATCAACACCTTCCCTTTTGGCAGCCTCAGAAAGAAGATTTCGAACAGCGTCTCCGCCACCCTCCCCAGAGAACAAGGGCAGCTGGGCGAAGACGCAAATCTGGACCGTACATGTTCTCTCAAAGTCTTTCTTCAAATTCAAGGCCGCTTCGAGGCATTTGAAGTGCACATCGTTATCGACTTCGACAAAGGCACGCATGGCAGTCACGCCGTGCTTAATGCTTTCTTCAATCAACCGTCTTCCCCTACGCAGAAGATCCCCTTCTTCAAACCGGGCTTTCGCTTTGCCGGTGAGGGTCATGGCTTCTTGGAAATCTCCTTCAACAATCTCCAGGTCACTGTACTTGGGATCCTGAAGGAGGAAGCACTTGTCCAGGTGGACATGGGCGTGGCAGAGGCTCGGCGCAAGAAGCTGCTCGGATGCATCCAAAATGCCCGAGAGATGGCTGAGACGTGGGGCAGCAGGGTCATGCTTTTCCACCGACGCTATGCGGCCGGCGGAGATGAAGACGTCCCAGAGATCAGGCCTTCCGGGCAGGCGCACTCCAATGACGCGTGAGAGGGGAGTGGTGGGGTGCAGCGGTGCAGCGGTTGGGCGCGTCTTGAAGGGATTTGAGCTGTCTGGGTGGCCGAGCTGCTTGGCTTGAGCAGAGTCCTGGCCAAACTGAACCTTTGACATTTCGGCATCCAGGTCGATGCCCATTGCGGCGAGGTAGGCGCCTGCCATGGTTGTGGTGTTTCGTCGGTCGGCACCGTGTTAGCGGAAGCGTAGAGATGGAGCAGTCGAAGGAGACGAGACGCGCAACCGAGAAGAGCCAGGCGCAGACTCGGCCATGACTTAGAATTCGCACAGCCATGACGATATACTACTACATAGTTTTCTGCTCTCGGTCGAGGTGTCAAGGCGACCTCCCGAGAATAATGGGGCCCGTCTCTACCCCGCCCCCTTGAGTCTAGCGAATGAAAAAGCATCGCGGCTCTGCCCACCAGAGCGCGTCGCCCCAGTGCTGGCGCATCATAGCTTCTTCCACCGAGTCCCCCAACGGTCCCACAAACCACTCCATTTCCCCTTTCTCCCATCGCCCGTGGCTGCCGCGTGCTCTCCTCAAGATGCAACCTGCTCAGTACCGGAACTATCCGCCGCAGACGGCCCAACGCTCTCCGGCTGCACCTCAAACTCGGCGAGGCCCAGGTACGTCGTTCCATTGGCCGCGTGCTATCCTGCTCTCTGCCTTCCCACCTCGCAATCATGATCAGGCTGGCTGATTTGGACTCAACCCTGCGCCGCAAACCAGGCCCCATCATCGCGTCGCAGCATCCGCCGCCCATCACCCAACAGCAGATTCAGGCCCAGCAGCAGGCCGAAGCCCACAAGCGCGAACTCGCCAAGCGCCAGTCGCGCAAGCCTACCGACAAGAACATCCCCGATGGCATCGAGGAGCTCGTCGTCGGCGACGGTGTCGCCCGCTATCGCAGCCTGCGTGACGTCGAGCGCAAGCTGGACGCCGTCATGATGCGCAAGAAACTCGATATCAGCGATGAGATGCGCGCGCGCAACATGACACGTTACAAGACCTTGCGCATATGGATTAGCAACACCGCCGAGAACCAGCCATGGCAGCAGGGCGGCATGGATCCCGACGCGTTCGATTTCGGAAGTGAATCCCAGGCGACTTATCGCGTCAAGATCGAGGGCCGGCTGCTGGAGGACGAGGACGAACTTGAAGCGGAGGAGCGGAAGGGTCTCGAGGCCATGGACCAGGATCCCGAAGATGCCAAGAAACCGCAGAAGAAGCCCGTGGTTCCTCAGCGTAGGAAGCTGGCGCATTTCTTCAAGCAAATCACGATTGACTTTGACCGGTCAAGGTCGCTTCAGCCCGATGGATACACCCAGATCGAGTGGAGGAAGCCCGAGCAGAATGCTACTTCTGACAGCGCCAACTTTGACACCCTGGAATTTGAGCGCAAGAGTGATGAGAACATCAACGTCACGATCAACCTATACCGCGACGAGACCCCCGAACGCTTTCAGCTGAGCAAGCCGCTGTCTGAGTTGTTGGACACGAACGAAGAGGATCGCGCGGGCATCATGATGGGCATCTGGACGTACATCAAGGCCAACAATCTCCAACAAGACGAAGACAGCAGAAAAATACGGTGCGATTCGCGCCTGAAAGCGGTGTGTAGAGGCCACTTCAATGACAGCGTATCAGACACTGACGAATCATAGCTCTTCGACAACCGCGACTTCATTCCTTTCCCTCACATCCCGCAAGCCATTATCCCCCACCTCTCCCCGCTGCCGCCTTACCAGCTGCAGTACACCATCCGCGTCGACCAGGCCTACGTTGCTCCCGACGATGGTACTACGCCCTCTCAGCCCACTGTCTACGACGTACTTGTCCCGCTCGAAGACCCTCTCCGCGCCGTTATGGCCAACGTATCGTCTGCGACTCCGGCCCTCGCGCAAATCGCCAGCCTGGACGAATCGCTCGCACTGGCTGTTCAGGCGCTGCAGCACAGCAAGGCCAAGCACGCCTTCTTCACGGCGATGAGCGCGGACCCCGTCAACTTTGTCAAGCGGTGGATCAGCAGCCAGCAGCGCGACCTCGACGTTATCCTCGGCGAAGCAAACAGAGGCGGTGGGGAAGATGTCGCGAGCGAGGAGTGGAGGAGGGGCGGCAAGGAGGGCGTCTGGGGCGGTGCAAAGGCGCAGGAGGGCGTGGGTTTGTGGCTGGCCAAGGGAAAGGCTCACTAATGACTGCGGTCAGGGATACAGGACGTGTTATGCTGGGTATGCTGACGGGATGGCGTTTTGCTCGGCTTGGGAGTGACCTCGACTAGAGATTGGCGTTGTAATAGTAGGATCGGGCTGGAAGTTCCCGTGATACCAAAAAGAATGGGCTTTAGAGGGCGTGGAATTTGACACTTTGATGGAAGTTTCGGGGATGTTTGCTGTGTTGTTGGGATTTCGTGAGTGATGGCGATATCCGCGCCCCTAACTCCGCGGTAAGATGTGCGGTTATGCTTTCTTTGTGGAGAAGCTGCATTCTATATTTTGGAGTTGTCTTGTCTTTGGGTGGCGTTAGAAATAAGCTTAAAGATATAATAGACTTAACTTGAAGCACACAACACATCCCTAAATGCCTCCCATACTTTCACCCTTCCCGTAACCACATGATTCTCACATAGCATGACCGCGATAAAACGGCGGAGATCGGAGCGTAGCAGTGTCCGTGTGGCTGTCAAGCTCGCTACTCTCCGTGCTCTCTCATACGAGGGCATTGACATACCGGCCCATGTTAATAAGCACTGACATAAGAAAATGTCGCATGTTCTTTTCTCCTCGAGAGCCTCACTCGCGAAGCGTTGCCTCACATTCCGCCCTCGTATCTGCGCTGCATGAACCCCGAACGGGCGGAATGGCTGCCAAGCTATATTATAGGGATGGTCGTGTTGGTTTGATGGCCCCCAAGGCATTGCTCGATTGCAAGAGCTTGGAATACAATAGGCAGCAATTGTATTAACCTACTATCTGGCCCCGGGGCGATGGGGCGAATTCAGGAATCTGTGGCCCACAGTGCTGCCAATCCCTCCAACAACCGATGCTCCACCGGATAAAAAGAAACACAGGAAGAAAATTTGAATTGCGACGTCCTCTTGGGGCCAGGATAACTCCGCAGGAATCTTGAAGAATTTTAGCTTGGTTGACGTGCTCGCGCAACAACCTCGTTTCAACGGAGCCTCATTTGATGTTCCGTCCCTTCGCCGCTCAGGCCTCTTCAAACCACCAAAAGAGCAACCAACCCCAACAACCCATCCAACCCAACTTCCTACTGGACGGGTATCAACAAAACAAAAAGAAATTAATGTTTTTCCCTGACCGGGAATCGAACCCGGGCCGCGTGGGTGAAAACCACGAATCCTAGCCGCTAGACCATCAGGGAGATGGAAAGTTAACATTGAGCTGATCTTTAACCGCTCGTTGTTGAATTTTGATTTTACCGTTGTGACTATATACCAACATAATTCATAGAAGAAAAAAGTAGTAGTTAGGTCCGGCGCGGGTTCGGATTCGTGATTCGTGTTTAACGTAGCGTCCCGGGCCGCCACAGGGCACCCCTGGGCTCCAGACTCACAACTCTCTAGCGGATCTCACCGACCCAGCTGAAGCTGAAGGAGCAGCCCAACCAGCCCAACACCTCCCTTACAGATGAGACTCTTATTGCAGGCCTAATATCACCGGACTTGGTCCGGCTTGCACAGCGGGAACCCGAGGGACGCAGGCTAGTAGGTAGGGTAGGTTACAGCGAGCAGCGAGGACATGCCCCATTTACCCCATACACGGACAGTCAGGCACCGGCACAAGCTTCGCTGCCGAGCTGAAAACCGTCGCCGGAGCCGCTTGGTCAAAGCCGCTGAGCGGGGCCAAGAGATGGCAATTCAAGGGGGGCCTTGAAGTGCCCCCAGCACCCGTCCTAGTCGAGGGCGCAAACCGTTCTGATATGCTTGTCTAACTACCGACCGACGAGCACGTTGCTGACTCCGCAAACATCGAACCACCCACGACGGAGCGCGCGCACAGTGTGGCACAGCATCAAGGGCAGCGGGTGAACCCCTTACCTACCACCCTGCCCACCGCTCTACACTCTACACGGTACCCTACACGGTACACCCCAGTGTCGAGCTTTTCGCCTGTAATTTAGATTCAGCCTTGCGGCTCCCTCACGTGCCGGACCAGGCCGCTCGCACGTCAATCTGATCAAAGCTTGCGTGTGCACCAAAGGGTTGGGGCCAAAGTCACGACGATGGCATCGCTAGCCAATGGCCGCGGCAGCCTAGCCCCCGCCCCAACCCTCGTTAAGTTCCTCTCCGGTCGAAGCTCGTATAAAAGCGCTGGCCAGCACGCCAGCCACGAGATCTGCACTTGACAAGTGACCGTATCTAGCGGCGCCTTTTTTTAGCTACCCTGTCGTATGTTTAGGATCCAGTCTTGTCGGACCGTCCGGCTGGCGTGAAAACATGGTACCGCCCGCCGACTCCACTGCACTAGCTTGCTCCCAGCCTATGTGTATATTGTCCCACGCGAGCCTCGAAAAACTCCCCGCATCTTCATCTTCCTCCTCTCCCTCTGTGCGACCACCCCCCTCTCTCCCTCAGACACTCCTCCAACCATGGCATCAGATGCTCGTTACTCAACATCAGCATTGAACGAGAAGTCTGCGAGTTACGAAACCTTAAACAACAACATGTCGGAACCAGAAGACCAATATCCTTCGCCGAAGCATACATCACACTCTTTCAGAAATGTCCTTATCTTCGCTCTTTTCATGTCCAACGCATTCTTCGCGGCGCTCTCTCTTTTCCTTTATCTAGACGCACAATGTCCTTTCAACGGATCCATATCCCATACCGACCCATTTGCCGTTTCGCCGGACCTGCGCGATGCCAGGTCTTTAGTCCGCACTGAGCAACGCCAATACACTGGAGCACTCAGATACGACAAGAAAGACGGCGCGCCGTATCGGCTTACTTCTGCATCCGATCGCCAGTACTTTGGCAACCCCAGCACGACTCCGAGCATCGACCACTCGTGGAAGGAATTGCTGCAGAACGAGTTCTTCGCCCTGTCACCCGCCGAGGCGAAGCCTTACATCGAGAAGGGCCTGGCGAAGCCGAGCCCTTCCAACAAATACTACGCCGAACTTGGTGTGTTTCACAACCTGCGCTGCCTCAACACCATAAGGATTTATCTGGACGCCGAGTACTATAGGGAGCACGGCGTCCCGGAGGGCTTCGATGCACCCAGGGGCCTGGATCGCGCTAAAATTGGTAAGGGATTCTTTTTGCTCTTTTATAGCCTGGGATTGTGCTAACACGCATTCAGATTACTGCCTAGACCATCTCCGGCAGTCAGTCCAGTGCTCGGCCGACCTGACCGTTGTGCCGATGCTGGCACAAGACGCTTGGACTGGCAGCGACAACGTCCTGAGCCAGCCTAGGACATGCCGCAAGTGGGAAGACGTGAGGTCGTGGCTGGACCGGAGGCACGAGAGGACGATGCTGAAGGAGCAGCATGCTGCGTATGAGCTCGTTTGATTTTAATTTTGGTTTTGATGTTTTGATTGTTTTTTCCGACACACCACATAGATACCCGTTCACCAGAGAAAATCAGCAGTATAATGTTCGTCACGCAAACTCGTCGCGATCAGCGTGATCGGTTAGGTTGGCTTGGCAATGTGGATTTTGGGTGATTTGAAGCGCTTGGCGAAGCTTGGCGTGTTTTGCAACCTCAGCCGCCCCACCCCGAGAGACGCCGCCGCAGGTCGATCTTCCGCCCGCGCTACTCCAGAATCCGCCGCAGCCCAATCACAACGTCCTTGTGTCGCACACGTGCACGAGCCGGAGGGAAAGGAGCGGAAAGCCACCTGATTGGCATCTCATGGCTCTTGTCTTCGTTCATTTCAGCCCACCAGCTTCACCTTGTTGCTAGCTCGTACCAACGTCAACACCGGTACACCTAATGCAGGGGGATCCTTTTTTTAGGTACGCCTAGCTGCCATTGCCATGCGCTGGGCATTATCGTCGGCCCAAATATTCGCACTATGAAGAGCACAGGCAGTGAACTCTGACCAGGACAACGTCATCACCTGAACTTCCCTCGAAGTTGTAACAAGCAAAAGGGGGATACGAACGGAGTCTCTGCCCGGCGGCGCTATGAAATCTGATTTGCCCAAGGCATATGTACGTACGCATTTTACTATTTCGTCATCTCTGGTCTTGAGTTTCGTGTCAACATTTTCCTCTTGGCGTCTGTCCAAGAAGTGCCAATCTCCCATACCAGCTAGACTGGACCGCCAATCACTTCTTTGTTGTTGTTCGATTCCAAATCCATCAATGCAGGCTTTACCCAGCGTGTTTTCTTGAAAAACTTCCATCCAAGATAGTTTGCTAGGTATATCACAATCCCGATATACGAAGTGACAAATCTTGAAGCGTCGAATTTGTGGATAAAGGAATCAAAACCTAAAACACCATTAATTAACAGGCTGGCAACTAGCAGTCATTAAATCGGGTAGGAGAGTCTGGTCTTACCGTTGAAAAGAATCACCGCGCTAGTGACCCCCAGAGAATAATACGCCGCATACGGCTGTAGGGGGCCTCTATAAGGGAGCTCGCTGCGTCTGATGCCCTGAGCAGCAAGCCCTCTGGAAAATTTAATGTACGATATTAGGATGCTGATCCAGTTGAGCGCCCCAAAAACCGTAACCAAGCTGACAAAGTATCCAAAGACAGTCGCCGAGGACTTCGAGACGTTCAGGTATCCGAGCAGAAAGAAAACAGAGCAAAAGAGGACGGCTGGCATAGGTACTCCAAAAGACCAGCTCCGAAGTCTGTCGCGGAACGTCGGCTTCCCATCCTCTCTGCGTTTGGCGGCATGAACAGTACGTCTGAATATCTTCGGAGCTTGCGATCTCTTAGCAAGGGCGTACAGTGTGCGAGCAGAGACATAGATGTCTACAAGTTGGAAACCTGTTAGTGAATTTTGAAAGTAAAACCCATATCCATATCATACCAGAAGATGCTGCGCTCAGCACAAAGACAAGAAGGGATCCATTGGTGATATCTGGAAGCATCGAGATACCGGCGCGCTTGATTGCGATGACGAATGGCGAAGCAGCTTGATTACCTGTCAGTGAGTTCGTCTAAAAACGTGCTGATAAACTTACAGGCACTCGTTTTCTTGTGCGACGCCCCCAGTAACATATCGTCTGTGTATGGAATCGCCATGCCCAGCACAAAGACACCGAAGATGTAGAAGACCACAATTCGGTAAAATGTCCATTTGATAGCTTGGGGTATCTCCTTTTTCAAGTTACCCGCTTCACCGAATGCAGCACCAACAACCTCACAACCAACATAGGCGAAAGCAGATTGGGTGAAGGCAGCCCAGAAGCCAAGAAAACGTCCTAAAGCTCCAGGTTCGAGATATTCGGCGAAAGCACCTGGGTCTCGCCAGTATCTAAAACCAATGCGACCCTGGCCGTCATTGTTGCTGAGGGAACGGACGAGACAGATGATAATTAGCATTGTCATAACAAACAACTTGATCCATCCCGCAAGAAATTGGCTTTCACCAAATACTTTTACTTGAAAGAGCTAGTAGGTGTCAGCAGCTGTGAATGGCAGAAAGAAAATTGTAACGGGTACTGATTACACACGTTGATGATAATCACTGGTATAGCAAACACCGTGATCCAGATGCCGACGTTCAGATCAGCCCTCCAATACCGTATGATAAGACCAGATGCCGTCAGGTTGTTCGCGAGGACGACGATGTATTTGCACCAGTAGTTGTATCCAGTAGCAAACCTTGTGTTATGTTAATAACTGAACACGGTCCGGGAAATAGAGTAACTGATGATAGCTCAAATGTATGGAATACGGACAACAGAAAGAGAATAGTCTCACCCCAAGGCAGGATCAGCATATCTCGTTGCATATCCGGGGAATCCCTGGTCCATTGGGGCATAGGTAGCCATCTCCGCCAGTGCTGTCATGACATTGTACACATTTCCTCCCATCACAATGTATGCGATCAGCTGCGAGCCTGGACCGCCGTGGAGAAGGCTTTGTCCCGTCCCAATGATCAATCCAGTGCCAAAGGACCCCGAAATAGAAATTGTTGGTGTTTGTGATGGTAACATTTTCAAACTCTTCCTGCTGGTTTTTGTTTTTGCGATCCATCGCAGATGGGGATGTTTGTTTGATATGTCAAGGAAAGACAAGAGAAAACTGTAAGAGTGCAGTGGAAAGTGTGATTCTGTGCATGACAGAACCATCTGGTCTATTATGAGGAACATACCATGGTGAAAAGCTTTACTGCCCCTTAGATCATAGAGCACTCGTAATCGACCCAAGCTCTAAACTCAGCGAGCTAAATATGAGGTACCAAATCGGGCAATTTGCGGAGGACATTCCCCACAACTCATATGTACAAATAAGTGAACTTTGGGAATGCCGCTTCAACCCGACACCGGTCCTGCAATTGCCTATGGTTCCTGAGCCAATACTCTTAGGCCAGGATGTCCCTAGGAGCCACGAGTATTAGAAAGCTTGGCTAAATGCTTATCAGCAACCCTACCGACCATTGTACATGTGCTTACTGTATAGTATTGTCTATTTGGCCGTGACCATACCACCGGTGAAAGCCAAGAACAGACCTCTATAGATGCATTCAACCTCTTGTGAACTATTCATCCTCTTTGTGTGCCCATCCACAGACAGCATCATATCGTCCAGATGCTTGACCACTTAAGATAGACGATAATGTGGGCCACCTAATACCCATGGTTTCTGCGAGCTACGCCGATCACTTGCGACGGTTTGAGCCAAGCTCGTGTCATTATACCGCGAATGTGGTAGCGCGGACTCCGACGGCTGTGGGGTTAACGCCGTTCCGTGGGTTGAGGTAGGGTCGGTCCATTCACTCCGTGGTTGCACCAAAGCGTTCGAGAGTATAAAAAAGCATCAACGCACTTTTCGTCAACTTCAATGTGAGAACATCAGAGCCAAAATGAAAGTTTGGTACTTCACTTGCAGGTAAAAATAAAGAGAAGAAAAAAAGATATAAAGGGTCTTGCCGCGACTCGAACGCGGGGCCTCTCGCAAGTTATAAACTCAGGGTGAACCCTAAGCGAGAATCATACCACTAGACCACAAGACCTGATAGGCTGATCGGATAAACCGACTGGCACCATGCTGATTTGATGACTAAGATTGCGATTTTACTTTTATCAAGAAAAACTGCAGGCTGCAAGCAAAATCACTCTGCGCGGAGGCTGACTGAGTGATTTACCAAGGAAAGGAAGCGAGGGCGACAGAACAAGCCTACGTGTGTCAGTGGAACAGAGACAGGGGAAGGTTCTACCTTCGTACACCTAATTTTGCCTGCTGCGCCGTTTCGATATATTGGAACATTCGCGCTATCGTACGCAAAGGCGTTGAGCCTCGTGGCTCCATATGTGCAACAGGCTTGGATAGTAATTACGATATTTGGCTACTTCAGTATGCTTGAAATAGATATTGTGTCAAAGATGAGGCGTAGTGAAATCTCTAAAGAACAACAAGCGGCTCACAGTTGGTGTTGACGTAGGTAGATGGACGGCGGGGTTGCGATTGCGAATCATGCTCGGCGCTTCGGAGAAAGCCGCGACCGTCCCGCTGCGGCTTGTTGGTAAACAGCCGGGAAAATAGACCAACTCCACGTCCGACGCGCGAGCTGCATACGACATCCACCAGGCAAGCCGCGACCATGAGGATAGTGGAAGTTGTGATAGACGTACGTTACCCAAACTTGCGCAAAACAGTCCGACTCACAATACACGCAGGGCTTCAAGTCGTACGCCGTCCGAACGGTCATTTCAGGATGGTGAGTTGCGCGCTCGCAACACTGCTGCGCACGAAGTTGATAGTATGATTAGGGACGAGAGCTTCAACTCAATTACCGGTCTGAATGGTTCTGGCAAGTCGAACATCCTCGACTCGATATGCTTCGTCCTGGGCATCACGAACATGAGCACTGTGCGGGCGCAGAACCTCCAGGTGCGACAGTCTTTCGTATGGGAACAGCGGACAGCAACTGACGGAGGCTTTACAGGATCTTATTTACAAGCGTGGACAGGCTGGCGTCACCAAGGCCAGCGTCACCATTGTCTTCGATAATCGCGACAAGAAAATGTCCCCGATCGGCTTCGAAGAGTATGCGCAAATATCCGTCACCCGCCAGATCGTGCTCGGTGGCACAAGCAAGTACCTTATCAACGGTCACCGCGCGCAGCAACAAACCGTACAGAACCTTTTCCAGTCTGTTCAGCTGAACATCAACAACCCAAATTTCCTGATTATGCAGGGCCGAATCACCAAGGTTCTGAACATGAAGGCAGTTGAGATACTGGCTATGATTGAAGAAGCGGCAGGAACACGTATGTTTGAAGACAGGAGGGACAAGGCCTTTAAGACCATGGCAAAGAAGGAAATGAAGGTCCAGGAGATTACTGAGCTTCTGAGGGATGAAATCGACCCTAAGTTGGAGAAACTCAGAGCTGAGAAGCGCGCTTTCCTGGACTTCCAACAGACCCAAAATGACCTGGAGCGTTTGACTCGGTTGGTAGTCGCGCATGACTACCTCCGTTACAAGGAGAAGTTGAGACTGTCGGTTGAAGATTTGGAAAAGAAGAAAATGCGGGAGAAGCAATTAGAAGATTCTTCGGAACGCCTGAAGAACGAGATTGAACTTCTCAAGGAAGATATCAAGAAGGTAAAGCATGCGCGGGACAAGGAGCTCCGGAAGGGTGGCCACTTCCAAGCCCTAGAAGAGCAGGTCAAGACTCATTCGCACGAAATGGTGCGTTTGAGTACTGTTCTTGACCTCAAAAAGTCCAGCATGGCCGAGGAAAGCGATAAGCGGAAGAAACTTCAGAAGACCGTCAAAGACCTTGAATCCCAGCTTAAAGAGAAGAGCAAAATTTACGAACAGCTCCAAGCAAAATACGACGCTGCGCATGCAGAGCTGGCCAAGCAAACCGAGGAGGTCGAAAAGAAGGAGGAACTTCTCCAAACACTTCAGACTGGTGTTGCATCCAAGGAAGGACAGGAAAGCGGTTACCAAGGCCAACTGCAAGATGCCAGAAACCGCGCAAATGCAGCTGCAACTGAGCAAGAACAGTCCAAACTGAAGATTTCTCACTTGGAAAAGCAAATCAAGGAGGCCGAACCGCGGGCAAAGAAAGCCAAGGAACAGAACTCCAGTCTCCTTAACGACCTCGAGGGTCTGCGCTCGCAGGCTAAGAAGCTTGAAGGTGACCTTGCTGAACTTGGCTTCGAGCCCGGGAAGGAGGAAGAGATGTACAAGGAAGAGGCCCAGCTCCAGCAGCGCATTCGGGAGCTTCGGGAGCAGTCAGATGGAATGAAAAGGAAGGTTGCAAACATCGATTTCAGTTACAACGACCCGGAACCTGGCTTCGACCGGTCTAAAGTCAAGGGACTCGTCGCTCAGTTGTTCACACTTGACAAACAATACTCCCGAGCCGGCACAGCCCTCGAGATTTGCGCGGGTGGCCGCCTTTACAACGTCGTTGTCGACACTGCGGAAACCGGTACCAAGCTCCTACAGAACGGCAAGCTGAGGAAGCGTGTCACTATCATTCCGCTGAACAAGATTGCTGCATTCAGAGCTTCTGTCGAGAAGATTGGCGCGGCGCAAAAAATTGCTCCCAACAAGGTCGACCTCGCTCTAAACCTAATTGGTTACGAGGATGAGGTCCAAGCAGCCATGGATTACGTCTTTGGCTCGACGTTGGTTTGCGAAGACGCCGATACCGCCAAACGTGTGACGTTTGACCCTGCTGTGCGCATGAAGAGCGTCACGCTGGAGGGCGATGTCTATGATCCTTCCGGTACGCTCTCTGGAGGTAGCTCGCCACAATCCAGTGGTGTTTTGGTGACACTACAGAAACTCAATGAGCTCACAAAGGAGCTCACCACAAACGAAAAGGCTTTGGGCATGTTGCAGTCTACCATGGCAAAAGAGAAGAAGAAGCTTGATGCTGCCCGGAAGATCAAGCAAGAATTTGATCTCAAGACACACGAGATCAAGCTTACTGAAGAACAGATCAGCGGCAACTCTTCGTCTTCGATCATTCAGCAGGTAGAGGAGATGAAGACCTCCATTACGCAACTGAAAGAGGCGATTGTCGATGCGAAGGCTCGCAAAGAAGAAGCTTCCATGGAAATCAAGCGCATCGAACGCGACATGAGCGAGTTCAACAACAACAAGGACAGCAAGCTTGCAGAGCTCCAAACTGCCCTTGACAAGCTGAAGAAGGCTTTGGCCAAGAACAGCGCTTCGATCAAACCCCTGCAACAGGAAATGCGGGATGCTATGTTGGAGTCTGAACAGTGTGGTGGCGACTTGACTGCTGCTCAAGAGCAACTGCAAGATGCTGAGGTGACGCTGACTGGTCAGCAAGAAGAGATCAAGGCGTTGACCCGCGAGCAAGCCCAAGCTAAGGACACTCATGACATTGCTGCTGCTCAGCTCGAAGACGAACAAGCCAAGCTTACTGGTTTCGATGATGAACTTCGCTCGCTAGAAGAGGCTATCCGCTCAAAGTCCTCGCAGATCACGGAGGAAGGTCTTGAGATGCAGAGACTTGGTCACCAGATTGAGAAGTTCGACAAGGAACAACAAGCCGCACAGCACACAGTCACCGCTTTGGAAAAAGAGCACGACTGGATTGTCGACGAACAAGATAGCTTCGGACGCCCTGGCACGCCTTACGACTTTAGAGGACAAAACATGACGGATGCCAAATCGACACTGAAGAACCTGACTGAGCGTTTCCAGGGGATGAAGAAGAAGATCAATCCCAAGGTCATGAACATGATCGACAGCGTCGAAAAGAAGGAGGTCTCGCTCAAGAACATGATGCGCACTGTCATCAGGGACAAGCGCAAGATCGAGGAGACGATCATAAGTCTTGACGAGTATAAGAAGGAGGCACTCCAGAAGACATGGGAGAAGGTCAATGGAGACTTTGGTCAGATCTTCAACGAACTATTACCCGGCAGCTTTGCGAAGCTGGATCCACCAGAGGGCAAAACTATCGCGGATGGATTAGAAGTCAAGGTCTGCCTCGGTAAGGTGTGGAAGCAGAGCTTGACTGAGCTGAGTGGTGGTCAACGGTAAGTCACGATGCGCCCATTGGTAAACAATCTTTCGGCACTAACTATTTTCACAGCTCGCTCATCGCCCTTTCGCTTATCATGGCCCTCCTACAGTTCAAGCCAGCGCCCATGTACATTCTCGACGAAGTTGACGCCGCGCTTGATCTGTCGCACACGCAGAACATCGGCCGTTTGATCAAGACACGCTTCAAGGGGTCGCAATTCATCGTCGTCTCGCTCAAGGACGGCATGTTCCAGAACGCGAACCGCATCTTCAGGACCAGGTTCAGCGAGGGCACGAGTATCGTGCAGGCGCTAACGCCAGCCGATCTGAGGTAGACTGTTTATAAGACATGGTTGGTCTTTCTTTGGACGGGTCGCGCTGGCTGTTTGGAGTTTTGGGTCCTTGGGTTGTGTCTGTCTCGTTCTCTTTTTGTGGGAGAAAAGTGTTCTTGCGGCGCTGTGGTTGTGGGATCGGGTTGGATGGCGGGACGTGAGGATTATGATACCACAGGTGCTCATGTGTGATGAATGGAATCCTACTTTCCGTATTTCCCGGGTGCTTAAGCAGATTGGTGATGGTAAATGCGATTTCTTCTATGTATGTCATGCACATGAATGGGCGCTTCACGTGCACAGGCGAGCATTTCGCGAGACGACCCGTCGACATCATATATCGAGCTACGTCATCCGTCCACTCCCACAACACACTTTGTCTATTTGAACCTCTGCCCGCGTTTGTCTGGACCCGTTGAACCCTCAATACCCTTCATCGCTACACCACAGAAATCTGCCACCATGACTGATAAGGTTAGTCCATTCCGGAACCCGTATGCTGTCGAAATATGTGCTCACGCGAACCCTCCTCAGCCACCAAGCAACAGAGACGTAATGGACAGGGCCGCAGAGCCCCCATTGAACATGACCAAGTATGAACAAACCAATATTATCTTCAAAGACACCAAGCGGGCCGAGCACGGGTACTACGGCGTGGCCAACAAACTCGACCACGTCGAGGTCAACGGCCCATACCTCCAACATGAGCACAAAATCGACGACTGCAATCCCAATACGGTGAGACGGGAGACCCGAGAGCTCATCAACGAGCGAATCTCCCCGCTGAGCCGCCGCGAGGAAGTGCGCAAGGCCATTTTCGGGACCGAGGACCCCGAGTCCATGGACGGAGGACCCGTGCTCTACCCGCCGATAGGAAGTACCAGCCATAGCCACTACCCTGGCGTATTTGGCGTAAGAACCTTGCACGTTTATGGACCTGACGATGCGAACAGTGACAGGGGCTCGGACGGAGCAGCAAACTCGAAGCCGGACGACGCACCCAAGACTGGCGAAGAAGAACCCAAGACGGGCGACAAGCGCGCGGCGCCCGACGACGCCAATGACGCGCACAGCGAATCGGACCACGAAGAAGACACGTCTTACATCTCGCTGGACGGTGAGATGATTGACAAGAACCCGGACCAGGTGCGGCGACAGATCCACCGCTTCCTCGACAATGGCGGCATGAAAGTCGGCGAGTTCCAGAGCGCCATTGGCGTTTCCAGCAATGCCTACTCGCGCTTCATGGGCCAGCAGGGCCCTACCAAGGGCCAAATGAGCGACGTGTACCAGAACGCGTGGGCCTTCTTCAAGAAGCGCGAGCTCAAGGGCATTCCGATGCCTCGCAAGAAGGCCAAGAAGGCGGACGAGAGCGACGAAAAAGACCAACACGTCGGCCGACGTCGACATCTCAGATGTGCACCTGCCGGGGGAAGAAGACGACGCGGTCGAGGTGTACGACACGTGCGACGAGATCCGCAAGAAGATCAACGCGCACCTGCGCAAGCCCGGCGTGACGCAAGCGCAGTTCTGCCGCGACCTGGTGGCGCAGTACCACGGGCCGAAGAAGCCGTCGCGCATCCAGTCGTCGCAGCTGGGCGCGTTCCGCGGCAAAAAGGGCCCCGAGGCCGGCAACACTAGCGCCGTCTTCTACGCCGCCTACTGCTTCTTCGAGAAGCAGCGCCTCAAGGAGAAGAAGCCCAAGAGCAAGCATCGCCAGGACATGGAGAACATCTGGGGCAAGCGCGGCGGCTTCGACATCGAGACCAATCACAGCAGGTATGGATATGCCATTATTAAGGGCCAGCATATAGAAATGGACAAGTATGCCCAGGTGAACGTTTACTGATTTTTTTGCCGCGTTTGCTTGCGGCGTCTTCTTTTAGGGGCATGTTTGTTATGGCCAATGAGGTGCCAGTGATGGACAAGTATGGTCAGGTTGACTTCCTCAAAAAATAATCGGTGATTCTTGGCACAAAAGTTGCGGGCTCAGCTGCGTGTCTGGTTGTGGCTCTCTCACTCTCGTTGGAGCAAACGATTATGGATGGGGGTTTGGTGCGGATTCTTGGCATGTAGGTAATATTTTCTTACGATTTAATGGGTTATGTATGGTCTGTAAGTAGGCATGAACTATTTGTATTTGATCCAGTCACGTCTGCTGTCAGCAGCGTGCAGATACTTGCGTGAACGTCTATAAATTTACTGAAAGCATAGCTTCGGCAACAAGCCGGGACAGCAGAAAGAACTATGGCAGTATCTGTATGTATGCGTCATTAAGCTAAATGAATCACTGTCGAGCACTACAGCACACACGCAAAGGCACAGAAGAAGAGAAAGAGATACACGTAGCGAGAAAGCCCAATAACCAAAACAGCAATTACATTCGCCAAATTATAGGGATATCTCCAACTTTCGCGCACACAAAGCAATCTGCGCATGTATATAGGCCATGATGGAAACACATGAAGCCCAAAAGCAGCAGCAGCATCATCATCGTCATCATTAGTGCTCGAAAACGTCCTTCCGTCCGTCCGTGGTCCCATGGCGCCGTGCCCGAATGAACAGAACAGACATATACAGAGAAAGAGAAAAGGAAAACGGGGGTACAACTACATCGACGACCGTACCTGGGGGTGTGATGATGGACAGGCATGTAGGTAAAGGGGGAGGAGGAGGCTTAGGCGCCCGAGTGCGCCATCAGCCATTGTTGGAAGGCTTGTGGGTTCCTGGTCTGGATGAAGATGGTGCCGGGGCCTGTGTGGTGGAGTTAGCCAAGGCACACGATACAAAGGGCGTAGGAAAAAGGAATGGAAAGAGGGAAGTCATCGCACTCACCAGTAAACTTGCACACCAGCCCCTCGCCCGACACCACGCCCGACACAAAGCCCCCGCTCGCGCCCCGCTCAAGCACATACTTGCAGTTCCACGCGACCAGGTGTCCGTTATCGACAATGTAGCGCTCGCCGTCGGCCAAGTCCTTGCGCACGATGGCGCCCAGACTCGTGATCCACAGGATGCCCTGGCCGGAGATCTTGTAGACGAAGAAGCCCTCGCCCGAGAACATGGCCTTACTGATGCTCTGGCTCTTGTAGTCCTTGACGACGCCCTGCGTGCACGCCAGGAAGGCGTCCTTGCCCACGTTCCACGTCTCGCTGCCCGACAGCCGGATGTTCGTGATGTCGCCCAGCGCGGGCGGCGCCAGCAGCAGCTCCCCCGGCCCCGTGTATTGCGATGTCGAGGCTTGTCCGCCTGCAATGAACTTCTTCACGCTGAATTTGACGGTGCCTTTGAGCGTTATGGTCGGCGACATGGCGAACATGGAACCTGTGTGCGCGCGTGTGTTAGCTTGTTGCTCCTTCTCGTCCCTCTCTTCCACCACCATCACCACCCAAAGGATGTAAAACTTACCCGGCTTCGCCTCCAACGGCGCCCCCATGGCCAACTGCACCGTCAGAATCGTATTCGTGTCGCGATGGCTAATGCGATAGCTCCCACCATTGAACGTCCCGACGTCGTCCTGGGTGGAGCCGGCGCCGACGAAATGGCCTTGCGCAGGCGCGCCGCCCGGCATCAGCGCGGCGCCGCTGCTGGTGCTGTTGTTGATGCTGTCGCTGCGGTGCGGCGCCATGACCGCGCCGCCGCTCACGGACCCGGACCCGCTGGATCGGTGGTGCTGGTGGCCGATGTTGCCGGCGGGCGCGGGTGGCGCTTGTGCAGGTGGAGGAGGAGAGAAGGAGGGCTGGTGCTGGATCTGTGGTTGCTGTGGTGGCGGGGCGAATTGCTGCTGGGGTGGAGTCGAGAACTGCTGTTGTGGTGGAGGCGAGAACTGCTGCTGCGGAGGCGGCGAGAACTGTTGCGGCGGGGGAGGGTAGTGCTGCTGCTGCGGTACGCTAGAGGGACTCTGCGCGGATGGCGGGGGAGGGTAGAATTGTGGCTGCTGGGGTGGTGGCGCGAAGTGCTGCTGCTCTAGGAGTGAGAGAGAGGCGTTAGCTGCTGCGTGAGGTGGGTAGGTGGGTGCGTATGAAGGTATGTACCTTGCGGCGGAGCTGCAGGCGCACGCGTTAGTTAGCTGGCTACTACAGTGCATGCATGAGGCTTACATACGAGGGTAGTACTGGGCCTGCGGGCCGGGGCTGCCTGAATGGGCGGGGTATGCAGACATGGCGGCGGTGGTGGTAGTAGGAGTAGATAGGAATTGGAACTTGAGAGGAACGAGAGCCTGAGCCTGAGGAGCAGAAGTAGAATAAATAGAACAAGAAAGAAGAAAGCTTGTTGTTGCACTTCACAGCCTCGCTCGGTGTAAGCACAATGTCCCGCTATGAATACGATACGGAAGGTATGAGGTATGCGACGCAAGAAGGTGTAGGTGCAGTAGACACAGAGCTGTAGGACGAAAGGAAGCAAGCAGGCAGGAAAAGAGAGAGAGGGAGAGAGAGGAGTCGGGAGGACATGTCGAAAGGTCTAGGTAATGTACGCAGCTTGCTCTGACGCTGCCGCGCGTGTCGAGGGTTTGCCCGCGTTGATTGGCCCGCGCGACACGGCGGATTTTCCTGTAAGCGCCGATCCCTGGCGTGGGGGCTGGCGCTTACGTCCATTGACTATTGATGAATCACATGTATATTGACTAGGTAGAGACGTGCTATTTTCATTTGCCGTCTTACTTTTTTTTTACACCTGCTACCTCTGATCCAAAGAAGACATGTGTCGTGCCATCAATTTTTTCCCGTCCATCGCCAGCCATGATTGAAAATAGAAGGATACGCCATAAGCGATCACCTCTAACCACGCTGCTTCCTTCTCTTGCCGACCTGGGCCGAGAAACCAGTCTTGATGGCCGTGACCGAGCGCCTGGAGCCGCAAGAGTTGCACGTGACAAAGTAGAGACGGTTCTCGCCCTTGTTGAGCTCCGTATCAGGCGATCTGCACGTCTTGCAGGTGACATATTCGACTGCTCCATGGTTAGCGCGCTGGACGAAAGCGAGAGAAGAAGCTGAAAAACATACCGATGTATCTCCTGAGGACGTTCTCAATCTGCTTCTGCTGGAAGCGACCCTTGATGATCAACCGCCTGCTGCCGTCGAAGGAACCGCTCGTACCCAATTCGGTGAATAGGAACTGCGTGACGTGCTCGTCGGTACGCTTGATGCGCTTGCAAATCTCGGCAATGTTGGCAAAGACGGTCTTCTTGCTGCCTTCACGCAGACACTGGGGCGGCGGGATCTTGTAGCTCTTGGAGCCGCTGGAGGCGAGGTCGGGGTGGTGCGAGTGCAGCATGGTGAAGAAACGGTTCAGCAGCTGGTTGTAGTTGATCGGCGTCGTGTTGTCGTGCGCCCAGATACCCGTGCCCTTCTCCATGTCGCCCTCCTGCACCGGCTCCTCTTCCTTGGGAGCCTCCTCTTCCTCCTCCTCCTTGTCACCGGCGCGGGCCTCGGCGAGCTTGGCCTCGAAGTCGTCGGCGTCGGCGGGCTTGCTCTTCTTCTTCTTCTTTTTCTTCAGCGCCGACGGGTCGAATTCGCCGTCGGCGGCAGCAGCCTCATCGTCGCCCTCCTTGGACTTGGACGACTTCTTCTTCTTCTTCTTGGCGAGGTTGCTGAACATGTCCGTCACCTCGTCGACGGCCTTGTCGCCCTCGTCGGCGTCGTTGACATCCTTGACCTGACCATCGCTGTCGACAATCTGGGCGCCGTCGGCAAATGCGACGGACTTGCGGGGCTTGCGCTCATCGAGCTGGACCAGGTCAGTGACACGTCGAGCAGGTAGGCGGGGGCAGCACGCACTTCGTCGGTCATGATTGCGGTGGCGGCCGTTTGGTGGCCGAGTGGATTCACAAAGATATCGAAACAAGAGGCAAGTCGTGCCGATTACTTCATCGGACTTGGCACGCCTGGTCGGGTGAGTCTGAGTCTTTTGGATTCCCGCTCCCCTCGGGCCATCTACGGCTGAACCCCTCCGTTGGAGAGGTACGTCAACGATAGATACCATTGCGCTCCCCCATCACCCTCTTCCCAGCCATGTCTGTCACCGACTCGACCTCCTTTGTCGTCCCCTCGGCCGAATCCGACGACGATATTGACTCGCTGCCCTCCGAGCCCACCACCGAGAGCCTCGACTACGAAAACGATGCCGAGCGCGAGTGGAACGAGAGCCTGCAGCAGCTCGAGCTCCTGCTGACCATGGTCGTGGTCCCCTACCTCGGAAAGTACTTTGGCCGGAAATGCGCATATTGGGGTGAGTCTGGCCCCCCTGCGATCCGAAGCAACCCATCGTGCTAACGCGCGCGCGCGCAGGCTGGGCCAAGTTCATGGAGTGGAAGTACCCCGTCCAGATCACCGTTACCAGCCCCGCCGCCTTCAAGGGCGCTGGTGTCGTCGAGGCCGCCGCGCCATTGTGAGCTTCAGCGAATCCATAGAAGCGAGGGGGTCGTGGCATGACTGGCTGGCGATCTTTGTTAGTCGCCTGCGGAAACGGAGTTTGGGAGCATTGGCGTCGTCGAATTCAAGGGCTGCTTATCGCATAAGGAAGACGAGCATTGGAGGGCGAGCATTTCATGTACTGCAACAGACATTCCCAATTCACGGGAACTGGCAACCAGCGGAAGATATACAGCAACTAAGAGCAAGCATATACAGTTCAAAGAATCCATGGTTGGTCGACATCAAGGCCAGACCAAGTAGACATCATATACCATGCGAATTGTGTCTGATTGTCTACAGTATAGGTATGAACTGGACTCAATTAAGAAAGAAAGCTTGGTAGAAGATGGGTGCTACTTAGTGATGCGCCGTCTGGGAAGACTTCACAGCAAGATATCAGGCACACTAGTCTAGCCGATATATTTAACTACCCATCTCATTTCCCCATATATGTCTGATCCCAACGCAGGAGGAGGAGGTTACACACTTTCCTTGCGATGCCCCAAATACTGAACCATGCAGAGCTGTTAAAGTTCTGGAGAGACAAAGCTGAATCTGGAGAAAGAGACTAATAGGGAATAAAGAAAGCTCCGAGGTCTAACAAGCACTATACCTTGGCATCGGGCTTGGCCTGGAAATACACAAGGAAATAATGACAGGATGTGAAGGCTTTACTTACCATGCCAAGACGATCAATGCAAGACTCCGAATGTGTAGAGTATGGGAAATTCCCTCAAATATTGATGGTCGTGGTTCTAGATTCCGGTGAAAGCAGATGATCCATTTCTGGTGAGCCATTTCGCATAGCATAAAGAAACCGGATCAAAAGGGCTAGGCCCAATGATCAAACTCTGTCCAATCGCGGGTATACTGAATCGGGCTTGGTTCATAGGCGGAATCATCATTGCCACCGTGTGAAATGTCCCAGCTGATTTTTGAAAAGCCGGCTGTGCCATTTCCGCCCAAAGGATGGTAAGCTGCTCCCCTAGCGCGGCTTTGGCGTGACTGAGCGAGTACAGAAAACACCGGTGGGTTCTTGACCGGTAGGGTTTTCATAGAGTCAGCTCGACCTTGTCGAACTCCTTGCGCGGCGAGCCGCGCTTTGGCATATTCGATGAAATCCTTGGGCTCATGGCCAGAAGGAGTGGCGTTGTCGTTAACAAAGCACGCATTAAAGCGATTCTGAGTTCGAGAATCTGAGGCCAGGGACTGTCGCGACTGGTGCGCTTGAGTTGAACCCATGGGCTGATTGAAAGCTTCCAAAGGGTGCTGGGCTGTCTGCCAAGGCATGTTGTCCTTCGCCCTCGGGAGTGTAAGGGTGACGTAAGTGTCATTTTGGGAACTAGAGAAACCAAATGGCCGACCATTTACGATAGAAGGGGCATGTGACGCTCCATAGCGAGAGCGCATGTGCATATTGTCATGTTCAGAATACGGAGTCGGAGGACAACTCTCTGGTTTGAGCACAACTTGTCCATTTGGTGCGGGCAGCCCTGTCATAAGTGGCGTAGAGTTCTTGGGTATCCTCTCTTCGGCTTGTGCATCTGTGTGATGTGGCATGGGGAATGGAAAAAGAGAAACATCCGATGGCGGCAAAGGTACGGTTGAAGCCATGTGGTTTGACTTTGGAAGTTGAGAACCACGCCCGATGCGAGTACCACGGATAGTCGTAGAGCCCGGAATGAGAGAAACTGGATAATTCTCATAACGGTCATCGTGGCTAGGACCAACGTCGGTAAATGACGATTCCTCAGAATAGGACAGCGAAGACGCGGATGATTGGTCGAAAGTTAACGCTCTGACATTAGGCAGTTGACCCTCGTCTTTTGCTATAGGCGATTAATTAGCTGTTGGTTCGTTGATGTTGCTTGGAGAGAATAGACAGACGTGGCATTGGATTTGAATTATAGGACGTGGCCTTAAGATCAAGTAGGATAGACCCCCGGCTCAGTGTATTCATCTTCCGCCTGGAAAGTGTCAGCCATGTCTAAGCGCCGAGGACCCAAAACGTACTTTGACTGTAACATCCTTGTCGATCTCGTGTTGCGGACTATTGTGATGCCACTCTCGGTTGCGTGGGAGCACTGTGACATGTATGAGCAAATGTAGTTTTCCTTACAATGGACATGGACAAATACTCTGCGCTTGTGTTTGCGACAATATTCACATGCCCCGTGTTTTCTTGTCGTTGCGGTTTGCTTCCGTTCACGTTCTCCGTATCTTTTGCGGGTTCGAGGCTTATGCTCGTTCATTTCGTGATCAAATACCATCATGGTTCCGCTGTCTTTCTCTTCTGCGGCTGGCGACAGTGCCGTCTTCGAAGAAGACCCGAGACCGTTATGACGGCTCTCATGCATAGCAGTGCCAACATTGGTGTTTTCGTGTTTTCGCGGGAGGATCTCACCAATGTTGAGAGCGTCAAATTTGTCCGTGAAGATTATCGAATCGTCTTCGGTTTCCTTGCTTTCGCAGGGAATGTCGATATCATGCTGGATTAGCTGACGAGATTCGGGAATTCTAGATGGCGTATGAGGTGGTTCTACAGCAATAGAAGTGCAACGAGACGACTGCTGAGGCGTTTGAGCGCGGCTGAGGTCGTATTCCAACGAGGTAATCATGCCTTCAAGGGACGGGTCAGAGGACGGATACCCCGCAAATGGAGCAGTCGCGAGCCATAGATCAGGCGGAAGAAGGGTGGATGAGAGTTGACTGAATCATGGGAAGGAGAAGGGCTGACACTAAGCCCTCTGGCATCTGCAGTGGCGGTAAGACTCGATTGATTCATTTTGACAAATGGAGATATAAACGATAGGTCAAGAGGTTGAGGAAGAGAAGTGAGATCAAATATCAACGCAAGCACGGTAGAAAATAAAAATAAAAATAAAAATAAAAACAAGGAAAAGGGCAGCATATCAATTTATCGGTATCTCATTGCCACCAACAATCAAAGAAGGGGCGCAGCAAATGTCCCTGAGAGTAACTTCTTAAAGGCGACGGAGCACACGCCGTGGCGTAGAGGGAGTAAGCCGAGGCTGAAGATGGCGCTTGTCCGCATAGGGTGGCCGACGAGCGAGGCTGTCTAGTTGCCTGATATGCCTTGTGGCGGAGTGCATTGCGGAGTGCGTGGGAGGAAATGGCACTATGGCAGTTCAGACGTGGATGCACGACACAGGTGGAGGAAGGCACTGAGTGATGCAGGGATTCCCGGCAGCCGAGTTTCTCCGGTACCCAGCCCTGGAGCCAAGCCTGGTTGGGCCAGCTGCGGTGATCACCCTGAGGCCGCTCGGAGGTGGAAGTGGAAACGCAACGTTTTGGCTTGACTGGCTGCTATCGCGCACCTCACCTACACAGCCATGGAGACAATCTTTCGGGCGCTGAGCTTCTTCCTGCTCCTCGCGAGCCTGCCCGTCATCTCGGCCCTCAAGTTCGACATTCAGGCCCACCCCGGACACGAGTCGGCCAGTAAAGAGCGCTGCATCCGCAACTTCGTGGCCAAGGACCAGCTCGTCGTTGTCACCACCATTACCGATGGCTACAAGGGCGATGGCATGACCCTTAACATGCACGTACGTATATCGGTGTACCTGGGCCCGCCTCTTGAGCTCCTTTGCTGATCATACCACGTTCCATAGATCAAGGATGCTGTAGGCAATGACTACGGCCGTCCCAGGGACGTCGCTGGCGAGAACAGATATGCCTTCACCTCCGTTGCCGACTCCGCCTTCGACGTGTGTTTTGAGAACATCCTGTCGTCGAGTAAGCGCCCTGGCATCGCCATTGAGAAAGGACAGCTTGCTGATTGTTTTCCCGACATTAGACATGGCAGCCTCGAACCCCACCAGGCACGTTGAGCTTGATATTGACATTGGCGCCGACGCCAAGGATTGGAACGCGATCCAGAGCAGCGAGAAGCTTAAGCCGGTTGAGGCAGAGCTCCGCCGCATCGAGGAGCTGGTGGGCGAGGTCGTGTCTGAGATGGAGTATCTGCGCCACCGTGAGCAGAAGCTGCGCGACACCAATGAGAGCACCAACGAGCGTGTGAAGTGGTTCGCGTTCGGAACCATGGGCATGTTGGTGGGTCTGGGCGCATGGCAGGTTGTCTACCTGCGCGCATACTTCCGGTACGTGATGTCGTTGAATATTGAATGGTGGCTCCCCACGGCAGCTAATACTTTGCTACAGCTCGAAGCACCTTATCTAAAAAAGCAGTCAAGTGTCTGCTTTACGCCGGTTTACGATGTGGTGGGAGCTGCAGAGATATTTCTTAAAACGATTCTAGGGCCACGAGCATATATGCCTGTCCAGCCTCGCTTCGAAGTGCAGAGCTACGAGGCGAACTTTTTGGGCTGATAGCAGGGCTCTGTGTTGTTGGCGAGAACCTGTAAATGTCTCGCAAACATCAGACGGTGGCGATGGGGGAGCGGAGTGTCTTAAGTTGCCCCCGCAAACCACCATGGCCGTTGCCTCCGAGATAAAGAGATGCTGCATCCGTCCCCGCTCCCTTTGAAGTTGCAATATCACTTGGGTGTACAGTCCGAATCTCCTCATTGCGTTTGTCTCTTTATACGGTTAAAGGTGTGCCCATGGAGACGCAGCCTCTTGCCGGATATAGCCATGAAGGCCCTGGTAGAGGTCTGGAGTTGCCGACCAGCGCAAACGTTGTAGCACAATCTGACCATATAAATAAGGCGCCCCCAGTCATCCCTAAGACGCGTCCTGTCAGCGGACAGTCAGTTCAGTCATGCCTGCCATACCACCGATGACCCTTCACTCACCGCGCCTGCCGCACTGCCCGGGGCATCGCTCTTCTAAAGAACACCCCACGCCAACCTTCTCTCATCATACTCCGCTTCGACACACCTCACCCCAATCTGCATCTGCCTCACGCCGCTTATCGCTATTGCCCATAACCACCCTCAAGTCGCTCGTGGATGCGCGATCAGACATGTCGACTCCCAACTCTTCCAGCCTGGTTCCTCCCAAGCCCAACCGTCCTGGAGCCTCTCGCAGCAGCTCGACTTCCAGCGTGGGCCGCTTCACTGAGTCCCTTCGCCCCTCCATCTCGCAGCGTGATTCGCAGGCCGAGCTGCCCGTCCCGCATCGCCCTGCTGCTGGCGCACCTGCTCGCCCCAATACCACCAGACAGTCCTCAGCCGACAGCGTCAGATCTGGTGTGGCCGACCCAGTAGCCATGTCGGATCGTGCCGAGTAAGTTGCCCCTGTTGGCTAGATCAAGCAAACAATAGCAGTTGACGACCTTGTCTCTTACTAGCACTCTCATTCCCGGTACTGCCATCACCGAACTCCTTGCCGGCCAGACGGCCAAGTCCTTCAAGGTCCACACGGACCTGCTTAAGAACCGCTCGCGCTACTTCAAGGACCTCTTCAGCTCCTCCAACACTGGTGGTGGTGGTCAGCCTTCTGGTTCGCTTCTCGCTTTCCCCGATCTGGATGAGTTCGCCTTCGCTCTCTTTGTGCGCTGGCTCTACGGTGCCGACCTCAAGGGACCGACTGATTTCCACACGATGCAGCACTACCTCTGCCTGTACGTGCTGGCGTCCCGCTTCGGCATTGAGCGCCTCAAGAACAGCATCATGAACCTGGTGCGTCGCTACTACCGTAGGTCCAACATGACGGCGCCCGCCTACCGTCTCGAGTACCTGTACAATGCCACTCAGGGCCAGCCGAACCACATGCGCCGCTTCCTCGTGTCCACAGCTGCGTACCGCTACCTCTGTGAGCGTGAGCCTTTGCTCAGCGACTCTATGCGCGGCGTTATCACCAAGGGCGGCGAGCTGGCGGTGGATTTCGCGGAGGCTCTTGCTAGGCTCCACCAGAACGAACTACAGGATGTCAGGAAGGGCCCGGACTGTGCTTTCCACGAGCACACAGAGACACCCGCTTGCAAGGTCAGGCTTGCAGAAGCATACGAATGAAGGCTGCGTCGCCTGCACAGAGCATGGTTGCTCAAATTTTGGTTTGGCTTGCATGGTTACGGATGAGCGTTGGTAGCTGAATTGGGAGCCCTGGCTTCCTTCACATGTACCTAAGACGCCACGACGGTAGATTCCACTTTCTTCAATTAAAATGCTGCTAATTCCATATGATAAATTGCAATGATAGTGGCGTAGGTACCTTTTTTTCTGCCTTTTCATCTACACACGTTCGTGCCTCCGTATCCCCGTATATACTCTTGTATAGAAATCTCGCACTCTCATATGTTCTTGTCTTCTTGTGTGTTTTCCCCCGTCGAAACGGTAAGAGTATACATCTACTACCTACGGATATAGGCTCTACATTTATCGAAGAAGTATCCCCGCGCGCCGGCTCCCAGACGTTCAATGTTGGAGGCTGATTACCGCTTTAGGCCTCTAATCTCGCTGGCTTAGTAACCCCCCGCGCGCCCGCTCCCAGACGTTCAATGTTAGAAGCCTGTTGCCTCTTCTGGTCAGCTAGTGGCTAGGCTTACTAACCCCCCGCGCGCCGGCTCATGGACTTTTGGCTGGCCCTCACGTCACACACTGAGCATGCATGTACGATAAAGACGAAGTAGGTGCACTCGCTATCGGGATATGAATGACAACATCCACATCCATTGCCGTAGTATGAAATACTTCGCTCTCTCAATAATTGACCTACACTGACCGTGACCACATAGCATCATCCAAGTATAAAGCTAAAGTTACTTATAATTACCGAAGGAGTACTCGGTAGATATGCACAACCAGATTAAAAGGTAGCGAAGGGGCGAGCAAACCAGCTACAAAGAGCAGACAAACTGTCTAGCGCCTCCACCAACTCTCCTTTCTCAAACCCTCTCAAGCGCCTCCTCCGCCTGCGCCTTAGTGTCCGGACTCTCATCATCCCGCGCCACCTGCCCAACAAACCCCCTCTCCAGCACCTCGACCAACTCATCCAGCCTCCTAACCACCAAATCCGTATGCTGATGGCCCGCCAAATGAGCATTAAACTCATTGACGAGCAGCACCGTCGCCGCGCCCGCCCGAAACCCCGCCGTCATGTCGTCCAGCCCGTCACCCACCATGATCAGCCCGCTCGCGCCGCCCTCCTCGCCCCGCAGCCCCCATACCTCGGCCGCGTGCAGAATTCCCGCTGGGTCCGGCTTCTGCGGCCCCACGAAGTCGTCGCGCGTCATGATGGGCGCGAAGCGCTCGCTTGGTGGGAGGAAGGTTGAAAGCAGATGTGCGACGGGCGCGGCGTGGTTGCGTGTGCAGATGGCTTTGGGGACGGCGCGCGTGGTCAGGTATTGCATCAGGGCGGCGAGGCCCGGGGATGGCTTTTGCGACGCCATGGCGCGGGCTTCGATGGCGCGGACCGTGTTCTCGGCGTCGGCGCGGTTGGAGGGTGGCAGCTTGGCGATGTGGGTTAGGATGTCGGCTTTTGGAGGAATGGATAGAGCCGTTCTGGGTCGTGGGGTTAGAAAGTGTTGATATCTATGGAATAGTAGACTCTTACCTCATCTCTGCGAACATGTAGTTTTGAGGCTCGCCTTCTTGGACGGGGAAGTATCAGTGTCTTTCTTCACAGAGTGTAGGAAAAAAACAGAAGAATAGAGACAATTAGAACCCAAAGACTGGAGACAGTAAAGAGAGCAGAATACAGAGTGGTCCTGAATAAGAAAAACACCGCTCAGACATGTCCGAATCTATCCAAGAACCTACTAGCCATCCAACTAACCAAGCAAGCCAAGGTCCATTTCTGCATTTTGCGGTTTTGATAATAACCACCATCTCCATTTCGAGAGAGCTTTGGTGATGATGATCATCGTCATCAAAATCAGAGACAAACCCCTTGATTTGAACGTCGCTGTAGGTGGCTGAGGTTGACATCACCGCGGCTGACTCCTTATCCCCAAACCCATCCTCCCTCTCCCTCCTCTCCCAGAACAAGCTCTCCTCCGCTCTCCACCACCTCTTCCAACCCCCACGTCATAAGCAAGAGCAAGTCTCACCATAAGAAAAGAAAATCACGGAAAGACAAACTAAGGCAAAGGCAAGACGAACCTAAAAAATAAAAAATAAAATAAAAAAATTGCATAACCAAAGAAAAGAGGACGAAAGAAAACACACTCACACAGCGTCCCATCAACATCAAACACGACGCCCCTCAACCGCGGCCACTCCTTCCCCGCGACACTCTCCGGATCCAGCGGCGCGAACCTGCGTGGTCGCTGCGACGTCGACGGCGGAGACGACGACGACGAAGACTGGAGCGGCGTCATAATCGTCGTGCTAAAGCGAAACCTCGTCACCAGTTGAGAATAATGAAGGACGAGTCGTGCTTGCGTTCTCAGCGGGAGTGAAAACGTAGACGGCACCAGCGCGGGCATGGCAGACAAAATACAGCGTGAAGTGGTCGACAGGATGACTGGCAATCACCCACGCGTATGTCTGTCTGTATGTATGTAGTCGGCACGGTTGGTTGGTGGGTTAGCTAAGGTACCTAGTGGGTGGGCGGGGTCGAGCGGGCGGGATCGACCTCGCTGGCTTGACGGACGACAGGTGTGTGCGGGAGCGGGCGCAGGCGCGGAGTATGCTCTAGATACCTACACAGTACGAGAGAGACGTCAGTGGAGACAGACGGTCGAAGGCCCGGCTGGCCGATTGCGGCTAGGAGCTTCGCTTTGTCCGAGGCTTCGTTGGCGCTATCAGGGAGCGGGGGAATGTGGTGATACGGCGAGACAGCCGTGCTCTAGGCACACAGAAGATTTCGGTACAGATGCACGTTTAGACACCAGGGTAGTGTACGTGTATTTGATGGGCATTGTCGTCCCTTCACGTCGCCAGCGTACCTAATGACTTTGCAATTTCAATTCAAAAGCTACCTAATCATTCTCGTAAGGGAAAGGAAGAAGAAGAAAACCATGTCAAGGGAAAAAGAAGAATCCGTTGCGCTCAACAACCCCTTGAAGCCCATATCCATTGTCCGACCCATTTGTTTTCCATCATTCGAAAGAGCGTGCCTGTGCAAGGCGCCACCGTCGAAGGTAGGGCCTACCATTCCAAGTCCATCCCAGCGCCCGTTCCATTCCAGAGGCGCCGAGTTGTTAAAGCGTGATTGAGATAAAGAGAGGAAAAACAACAAGCTAAGAGGCGAGCCTGGCTCATGTAACAATGAAGTCCCGTGCCCACCTCCATCAATGCAGTTAACAGCGGAGCCGCAGCCACTAATGGATAGACTCCTCGTCGCTGGCGTCAAGGACGTCGTACTCCTCATCAGTGAAGAAGCCGTCTTCACTCTCGGAGAGAAGGTCGACGGTGTCAGCGTCCTCGAAAATCTCGAGCTCGTCACCGACGGACGGAGCTGTAGCTGAAGGAGCAGAGACGCTCTCCGTCTTCGTGCCCTCGCTAGTCGGCGCAGTAATGGCCTCGTGAGTGCTGGACTGAGGAGACTCCTTATCAAGTACAGGGAAGACCATCTGGCTACTCTCAGCGGTAGGCTCCTCCTTGACGTCGGCGGTCTTATCGGCGTCCTTGGTCTCGTTAGCCTTGTTGATCTCCTTGGGCTCCTCAGCCTCCTCAATTTCGGGCTCCTTCTTGATGGTGACACCAGAAGACTCGTTGTCAGAAGCATCCTCCACAGTCGGCTTAGGGGGCCTGGGGATGGTTGCCAAGGTAGTCATCTGCTTCATGTGCTCGCGAAGGTTCTCGAGCAACTGGACACGGCTCTCGGTAGACTGCCTGGCAGCAGCGAGGAGTTCGGCCTTCATGTCGGACTGAGTTTCACCGATGTTGCGGCGGAGGTCACTGACCCGCTCGCTGAACTTCTGGATCGCCATTGAGTGCTCCTGTCTCTCCTGGAGCATCTTGAGCTGCTTCTGGTACTCAAAAGCCTGGGGAGAAGGTTTGGCGACCTCAACGTGGCACCACAGCCTGTGACCGAAAGGAGTGCCATCGGCGGCCTTGAGACGCCAGTAAGAGATCGCAACACCCTCACGGGCAGGCGCCTTCATCCGGACGCGGAAGCAAACTTCCTCGCCAACTTCAACACGGCAGCCAAGGACATTGCTCTCAGTCGCCTCTGCGATGTCAGTGGCGCTGAATGGGTGGTCATTGTTGACGTTGAGCATGTTGTCTCCGCCGACGTATCTGACACTGCATCCAGCAGGCCAGGCATGAGGGCCTGGGTTGCGCAAGACCCAGCATTGCAAAAAGCGCTCACCAGCAAGCACCTTCGTGCCATCACAGATTTCATCGCTAACGAAGTGAGCATTGAGCTCAGAAGACGAGATCTCAGCCGGAGCTTCCTCGGCAAGAGCATTCGCCGGAGCAGACGGCGTGAGAAGATTCTCAACCTTGATCTTCTCGTTGATAGGTTCGGCAAGGAGATCCTTGATTTGGATTTTCTCCTTCAGTGATTTGGCCGACAGATCCTCGATGGGCTTGACATCAACAATAGTGCGGACCTGACTGGCAGCATTGGTCGGTGTCGCAGGCTTTGACTCGGCGAGAGTAGAGCTCGCCCTCTTGATATCGCCCAGGTAAGGCATGGGGGAACCCTGCTTGTCTTCACCAACAGTGGTTACACTGACCTTCCTGACCGGGGTCTTGAATTTGATGACCGGGTGAGTACGGTTGTGACGGTTGCTAGGGTGAGATTCGCAATTGGCGCAGAAGTCAGTGTCGTCGCAGATAGCGCACTTGTAGCGAACGCCTTCGATGTAAGACTGGTCCATCCTGTCGTTGCACAGCGGACCGTCGCAGTAGATGCCGAAGTGGCGAACAACGCTCATGCGAGGCTCAGGAAGAGGCTCGTAGATGGGCACGAAGCGGTGTCCGGGGTGCTTGACGCCGGCCTCCTTGACGCACTGAGAGCAGAAGTCCCAGTCAGGGCAGTTCAAGCATTTGTGGCGGACACCGTAGATGTGCGTGTCACAGCCATCGCAAACAGCGGCATGGCGAACGTTGCGACCGGGGGCGCAGAGGTACGTAGCAAGGGGACCCATGACAGCTTCCGTCGTAGCAGGCTTGAAAGCATGGCCAGGGTGGTGACCATGCTGGGTTCCAACGTGGCATGACAAGCAGAGATCGTAGTCATCGCAATTCACGCAAGTGACAAAGTCATCCTCGGGGAGAACTAAAGCCCATGTTAGCAAGTACTAAAAACAGCATGACAGTTACCATACCTTGAACACAGCAGTTGCAGGTGCGAGTGGGCTGCTCAGAGTCATCGTACTCGTCAGTCTTCTTCTCGTCAGCAAATGCACCAGGCATCTCCTTCTCGGGCTCGGGCTTGGTCTTGGGACCAATCCGCTCAGTCGTGCTGTTGATGACCTTGCCGCTCTTGACAAAGCGCTTGATGAGCCAGTGGCCTTCGCCAGGGCAGTGATGGCCTGCAGTTACGCAGTCCTCACAGAGGTCATAGTCGCCACCATCGCAGATGCTGCAATGGAAGTGCTCGTTCGCCATGGGCTTGTCGCAAGCGTTGCAGTACACGGACCAGGAGCAAGGCGGCTCGGGCGCAGGAATATACTTCTCGAGGAAAGCACGAGGGTCGCGCTTACGCTTCATGTCGGCGATACGGTTGAGGAGGTCTGTTGCTTGTGTGAGCATCAGTTTGACAGAAGGCGTTCTTCTTGTATTACTTACCCTCACGCGACGAGTTTCCACCTTCCTTGAATGAAGTGAAGGTCCGAGGCACAGGGGCCTCTCCCTCCGTATCCACCGGCTTCTCCGCCTCCTGCGGCTTCACGGAGTAGGGACTCATAGGAGGCCTCATGTTGGTCTTGAGGAAAGCCGGATGCCTGGCGTATGGGTGCAAGGGGATGGTGCCAGTGTTCACAGGGCTCGGCTGGGTTGCAGCCTGAGGCTTAGTTTGATACTGGGGAGGAGGCGGAACGACCGGAGCGGTCCGCAGTGGCAACGGAACGGGTGCTGCAGACTGGTTAGAGGCCTGCGGCGCAGAAGGAGCCGGCGAGGCCTTCTCGTCACCATCGGACACGACCGTAGCCCTCAGACGGAGCTTGAGCTTCGCCTTGGCGGCACGGAATAAGGTCTTGTAGACCTGGGGGTTCTCGGCATCGAGGGTGATGTAAGCGCCGGCGCTGTCGGAGAAACGCTCGAAGATGACCTCCTGGGTCGGGGGGATGTTGAGGAGTTGGCGGAGCTAGGTTCATGGTCAGCGGGAGCGTTGCTAACCTCAGCCTCGGCTGAAGCTCACCTTTGCGGGGAGGACGTTAGCGCCCAAGTCTCTCATGGGGAGCTTGAACTTCTTGTTGGTGCCCTGTATGGAGATCTTGATGGTGATCAAGGTATCCATCGTTACAGGAACAGTGGTCGCCATGGTTGCAGCGTGTAGGCGGTGACGTATGGGAGTGAGCAGTGGACTGAGCGTGAAAGTCGGGCGACTTGGAGGCCGAGACGCTGAAGACGACGAGCTTCAGGCACGGCTCCGGGCGGGCAGCGGGTTCGGCACGACGAGCAGGTGGATGTTTGGGGGGAGGAGAGGGTTGTGGGCGGGTGCGGAGAGGAGGATGAAGTCGACGGAGGGAGCCTGGAGGGAGCTCGCGAGTAAGCTCAGAGCTGGGACGCGCTAGCGCGACCTTTCCAAACGGTCAGGCTGGAGAGCGGTCAAAGAACCAAACGCGAGTGAATGCAGGCCAAGAGGGAATGTGTGTGTGTGAACGCTCCAACAACGCCGCCGCCGCCCTGCGCCTGCGTCTTTCAAAAAGGCGACTGCTTGACCTGCTTGACCCCCCGACGCGCCCGCCCAGACCCCCGTCACGTGCTTCTCAATGGCTGATCCTCTATTCTTTTGATACAAAAGGGCCCATTTCTCTCGGGCGTCTACATGGCCACATCTACAGGGTGAATCCCGCCACCTCTGGCGCGTGCGCGCGGACCGGTGAGGATCCCGAGGCTGTGCTGGTTTCAACATGTGAGTTTATCCTCGCCTCACTCGCCCTCACAACTCTGTCTTCTCCTCCTCCAACGACCTCTCCTCCTTCGCCTCCTCCGTCTCCTTCGCTTCCTTTGGCGGCCGATACCCCGGCTGCGCCCAGCTCCAGATGTTCAGCCCAACCTTCGTGCCCGTCATGACCGGCAGCCCGGCATGCCACGCCTCCTCGTACATGCTGCCGTCCGCGCGGAAATTCTCCCAGTAGACGGCATTGCGAGAGATCGGCTTGAACGTGACGCCTTCGTGCTCCGAGTCCTCACAGTCGAGGAGCTCGCACCATTTCTTGTCCTCCGGCATTGGCATCACAGGGAAATTGGTGCCGCCACCGGTGCAGTTAGCGTCGACATAGACCATGAAGCTCGAGATGCGCCCGCCGATGATGCCACCTCTAAAGGTAGTAGCGGGCCCGTCGAAGTGATGGACGTAATGGCCGCCGGGGCCGTAGCGTTGACTCCAGAGCTTTTCAATAAATGTCCAGGGGCGCCATCCCTGAAAGATGCGGGCGCGCTCTTCGATGCAGCGGACTATATTGGTGCGGTCGAGCTGTGCCTTTTCAGAGACGCGGACGCTGGGGTCAAGGCGCTCCTCATCGCCCGTCCACACGGTCGAAGGCTTGAAATTTTCTTCGCTGGCCAGACATAAGTATGCATGCGTGGAGCAGCCTGCATGTGATGTGCTCACCTGATGTCGATGATGTGCTTTGCTTCTTCACCGCTCAAGAAGTCTTCAATGTAGATGACGAGGGGGTCTCGGTTCAGGATATGCGTCTGATAGTGATGCTCGGGACAGACGAGGCTCTCGTCCGGGATGGCCAGGCGGTCGCTGTTGATGAACTCAGTGACGGTATCGGCAGACTCGGTAGCCCGGGGGTTGAAGAGAATGCGCGAAATGGGTGCACCGACGAGAACATAGAGAACGACGGTGTAGAACAAGTACTGTATGACGGTGCCCAGAGAGACTGCCATGATGCCGTGGCGCTGAAAAGGAAATGTGCATGCAAAGATGCGTCGTCTCAAGCAAGCGTGATGCTCGGGCCTATCGTGCTATTCTTGTACCGCCCCAAAAGTCGCTCAGGAACCGATGACGAGGCGGCAGGGCGGATGGGCCATCGCACGACGCCCAGCCCACCTGCATCGCGCTTCCATCCCGCGCTGAGTGTGTACAGACAAGACTGGCTACAGCGTTTGAGTTAGGTGGCGAACAATCTCCGACCGTCGTCGCTATGTCCAGCCAAGTTTTGCGTGGCCATCTGCACTCCCTTACCGCCACAAATAAAGAAACGTGATAAGACTGTATTTTACGTCTGGCGGTGTCTCTTGCCCCAGGAGCGGTTACACATGCTGATGTTGTCGTCTCAGACGTCAGCTTGGCGGACAGCTCGACCAGGCTTGTCGCTCCAAGTCCCGAATATCTCCTTTGCAAGCGCCGACATTCGCGTCCTGAGTCTTTGATAGGTAACTAGGCATTGGCTTCGGTCGTCGTTGTCGTCCCCTCGGGTGATGCGCGATGCGAGATCACGCCCGGCACTCGACTCTTTCAGCCGCAACGGCCAAGCAAACCGTTAGACATGCATGGCCTGCAATGCACCACGCATGTAGCTAGGGAAACTACAAACCTGCGGTGAGTACCTCGACGACGTGGTCTCGGGAGAAACCGTCGTTTAGAAGGCTTCCTTGCTGCTTTCTCCAAAAAGCACGGTACATGATGCACTCTCCATGGGTATGGCCGTTGTTCTTTCGATTCTTCACATTGCAGCCGGTCCCTGAAGATGTACCATTCGTCCCTGAGCATGTATCTGGCTAGCACGCTGTTTCGTCAGACTGCATGCACGCGCTCCCCGCATTACCGGTGCGGATGCCGGTTGGATGTTTCTGTCTCTCTCTCCTCCCACCGACCTTCCTTTTGATACTTCGTGGCTGAAGCCCGTTCGTACGATGTGGTGCCTGACAACTGTCGATCGGGTAGATGCAGAAAGCAGCAGCAGCAGCATGACATGTCAGAGGCTTGGATGCGCCGGTTGGATGTTCGTGAACCTACGTATATATATATCTAGAGCTGAAGACTTGCAAGCTCTTTTCTCTTCATTACATGAAGCTTTTCTAATTTTCATCATCTTCTACTTTAAAAATGGCTAGAATCTCTGCTCTTTTGACAGCATTGCTGTCTGTTACTCTCACAGTCCATGCATTTCCTACGTCCAATTCATCACGGCATTCATCCTGGCCAGGCTGGGCCGGAATCAAGTACTGGTTTGTTTTGTATGTCCATAGCACAGTCACTTCAGTTTCAATCAACCACTCATCATATACTCCAGCGGAGATTCATACAGCACCACCGGCTTCGACATCAACGGGCAGCAGCCATGCCCTGCCAACCCATTGGGCAACCCACCATACCCGTAAGAACCATCCTACACTGATCACTAAAGCCTATCCAACAAACCCACACAGCTTGCTACACAACCGCTAACCCTCCTTCCTAGTGGCAACACCAGCTCCAACGGCCCCAACTGGGTCGACTACCTCACAACAACCCACAACACCACCCAACTCCTAACCTACAACCTTGCCTCAGGGGGCGCGACGCTCGACGCGGCCATCGTGCCGCAATACCTGCCCTCCATCCGCAGCGTCAAGCACCAAATCCAGCAGCAGTTCCTAGCCAACTACACGGGCACGCCGCGCGCCCCCGCCTTCTGGAGCAGCACCAACACGCTCTTCAGCGTCTGGGTCGGCACCAACGACGTCGGCATGTCGTATACCACGCACAACGAGAGCTTGTACGATAGCATCTTCGCCGAGTTCCGCGCGCTGCTCGACCAGGTAACGCACCTCCCTTCTCCGTCCTCCACCCCCACACACACAAACGCTCAACTAACCCCACACCCCAATAGCTCCACGCAACCGGCGCGCGCAACCTCCTCCTCCTCACCGTCCCCCCCGTCCACCGCGCCCCGCTAACAGCCTCCCGCGGCGCGGCACCCATCGCGCACGAAGCGCGCGCCATACGGGCCTGGAACGCGCGCGTGGCACAACTGGCGCGCAGCACGCGGGCCGCGCACCGCGACGCCGCGGTCTTTGTTGTCGATGCCTACGCGCTGTTCGAGGGTGTGCTGGATGCGCCGGGCCGGTTTGCGCAGACGAGGCAGTTGGTCGAGGTGAGTGGGTTTTGTGGCGCGTATGAGAGGTGAGTGAGTGAATGAGTGTGTCTGTGAGTGTGCTGCTGGCTTGCTTGCCTGACTTCTTTGGCGTGTTTGGCTTTTGGCTTTTAGTTTATTGTGTTGGAGAATGGTTGGGCTGATTGCTGTGTTTTGCTAGTGGAACGCCGGCTAAAGACTCGTTTCTCCCGGCTTGTGGTGTGCCCGTTAATCAGTACTTCTGGCTTAATAGCTTGCATCCGACGTATCCGATGCATGAGGTGCTGGCGGCGCGGGTCGCGACGACGCTCAAGGAGTGTGAGGCTGGTGCTTGGCCTAAGGATGTTGGCTTTCAGTGAGTAAAGGGTGGTATAGGACAAGCGGGTGTGCTTGTATTTGTGGCAGGAATGTGGCAAGGTGTTTGTGCGTTGTTGGTCCTGTAGCTTTTTATACGCTATGTATTCTTACTGGAAGGAAAATGCTCACTGTTTAACGAGATGGAAATGATAGAAGAAGTCTTCACCAAATACTCCTTGCCTAGCTACAAACATGAGTCTTGGATATAAATGAAAAGGTCTTAGAATGCACATATATTATTAACTGGATTTTATTTCCACTCCGTATAAGTATCGTTATCTTGTTAGTCTGTAAATCTTGCCTGGCGGTGATGAACAATAGCTTTTGTATAGTCTTCATTGATATTTACATGATTACTTTATAGAATGCTGCGCCAAAAGGGTATAAAACAATCCAAACATATCTCTAGCTTCGTTGCAACACTCATTCATGTCCTCTCAACACTTTCCTCCCATCAACAGAATTTCATCTCCTACTCATTCTTAGCCCCAGCAGCAGCGACCCTCTTCTTCACCTCTGCACTCCCAATACTCCTCGACCGGTCCACCACAACAGCCTCAAGCCCACCCAATCGCATAAAACTGATATGTCCAGGGGCAATCTCGTCCGCTAGCACCTCCACCACCTTGCGCACCTCGTCCGCGCCAAGGGGGCTGCGGCTACTGGTTTGGACGTCGCGCACAAGGCGGGACATCGGGAACGAGACGCGCGTGTTGGTCGTGCTCGACGTGGCGAGGAGGGACAGGATGGCGAGGACGTCTTCGCAGCGGTGCAGGGCAGAGAGACGGGCTTGTTCGGCAGCGGAGGGGGGCGCGGGAGCTGAGGCCGCGGCTTGCTGCTTGGCGAGAATGCGATCCAGGAGGCTGGTCGCACGAGAGGCGGCTGCGGGCGGCGGCGGCGCTGGCTTGGCGTTCTCTTTGTCCGACACGCCGGAATCGTCGTCGGAACTGGGCACTGCCTTCTCGGTGGCGGAGGGGGTTTCCTTCGGAGCCTTTTCCTTCTCTGCCTTGGCTTTCGCGGGAGTAGGGTTGCTAGTCTTCTGCTGTGCTTTGATCGCGCCGGCTTTGAGATCTTCTAGTCTGCGCTGTCCCTTGGCTAACAATGGCGCTGCCTTGGCAAGGCTGGCGCATTCCGTAACTTCTGCGAGTGGCAGCTGAGCCATAAAATCGCTGATAGAGCTCTCGCTCTCATCCTCAGGTGTGCCATCCGCGCTCCAATCGCACCAGCGCCGGTCGATTTCTGCCGCGAAAGAAGCGTTCATTTCCTTCTCATTGATGGGTTGGACAAGGGCACCATTGCTACGCTTGCCTCGCTTCTGTGTTTGCTGAAGCTCGAGACAAATCTTGCCGCGACCGTAGTTAGAAAGATGGAGACTGGACTTTGATTTGGCGCTTCCATGGGGCATCAAGGCAACACTGCGCTTGATATCGTCCAGCGTAACCTTGCGCTTCCCCCAAATCTTTGTGATGGAAGGGGTGAGTGTCCGAACGTCGGGTGGCGTCGCCGTACCATTGTGTGCGTAGTGTAGAGATAGTGCGGTCAGGAAGGATGAGTGGAGGGAAACGAGCTGTTGAAGCTCTTCGGGAAGTTCGGTGTCGGCGTTCTTCTCGATTTTTGTGCTGGAAGTCTTCGGGGCGGGAGCTTTGGCCAGTTTGTCGGTGGAAGAGGCATCCTTTGTCGACCTGGACTTTTCGGCGATGGGGGTAAGCTTGAGAGGCTTTACGGGCTTCGAGAGCTCAAGACCAGCAAGGAGACGGCTGGCGCCTCTGGTGGGCGTTTCGGCGATATTCTGCGAAGTGGAGCGTTGGAGGACCTGCTTCTTGCGCGGCGATGGCTTCGTCAACTCAGCCGCCGGCTCGGTGTCCTGCGACACAGCCTTTCTCTTTTTCGATTCCGAGGATGGGAGAGTAGCTTTTGAGAGGCGAGCGAATTGCTGAATGCCCTTTTGGGTGGTCGTCGAGGGTTTGTTTACAGGGCGGGCCGAGCCTCGGGCGCGCGTCGTTGCCGCAGGCATTATGGAATACTTGAGATAACTTGGTAATCGGATATATCTCGTAGGAATTGGCTTGAGGATATGCCGGTAGAATACTGAAACGGTGCAGTGCGGATGCGGAGTTGTGGGGGGTTCAAGGTAACGCGGTTTTCTCGCGACCTTAACGCGAAAAAGCGCGTGCCGCGCTAGTCCCGATGGGGAAGTGTAAGTGGACCCGGGTTGCCGGGCACGACAACACCTCGATCGATCTGACGACCTCCGTCATTTCACACAGTACCGTTCATCCATCATTTATCGCCCTTGGAAATGTTTAAATCTCAAACGCCAATGCCGTCGAGTTGCCGACAGTGTACAGCCCATGCGCCTCATCAAATCAAGTCATCACTACCATGCAGTATGCCCTCCGTCTATCACAAGGTTCGATCCAGTCTGCGTAGAAGTGCGTCAGCGTAACATATTCCAATCATCACTGTAGTGACCTCTCACCATGAAGCTGCTGGCCCGGCTCAATAGGAAGAGTCCAGCGCCCTTAAACTCTTCCGGTTTGCTGAGGCGACCCATCATGTTCGCGTTCTCCCATATTTCTTGCAACCCCGGGACTTCCTCAAAGTTCTTCTCTACCATGGGCTACGCTGTCATTAGCCAAAAATAATGCACGACCTCAGCTACCAGACAAGACTGGACTTACTGTAACAATATGCCCAGGACTCAGGCAGTTGACGCGAATACCACCTGTCCCGTCTTCTCGTATCCTTGTCCATTCCATTGCCAGGTTTCGGGACAACTGTATCACCGCCGCCTTGCTCGAGTTATACACGGGGCTGATAAGGCCCTTGTTCGCAATAAGGCCGCTCATGCTCGCAATAATGCATATCGAACCGCGGCATTTGTACTTAAACATCTGCCGCGCAACGGCCGAGCAGGTCATAAAGACACCGGTGTAGTTGATGTCGAGCATCTGACGGGCCTCCTCCACAGTGTATTCGAGACTGGGCTTGATTTGCTGCACGGCTGCTGCGGCGATGAGGCCATCCATCCGCTTGTGTTCGTCTGCGATCGCACTAATGACCTGATTTAAATCATCTGTGCTACACACATCGACGCGACGGTAGTTGAGGGAGCCACCGAACTCGGGAAGCACGCGGCTCTTTGCTTCCTCAAAGTGGTCGTCGGGCTTTTCGAGTCGGTCAAGGCAGTAGACTGGATAATAGTTAGGTTTATTTGTTTGTTTACATCCTTGCGTCATGGATAAGAGCTTGGGAAAAGAGTGATCAAGGGCTCAAGGACCAATAAAGGAACGTACCTTTGCCCCCAGCTTCCACTAATGCCTCGGCCATGCAAAGCCCTAGGCCTCTGGCCCCGCCGGTCACTACGTAGACGCCGCCAGCAAGATCGAAATCTTGGAAACGTTTGCCGCCCACATTCTCGGAAAGGTGTCTGCGCTGATCCTGAAGCTCGGTTTGAGGTAAAACTGGACGGATGGAAGCGCGCCACACACAGTCCCTTGGCCGGGATGCAGCAGCTGCAGTTGTGCCGAACCCCCTTGCCACCAGCGAGGCACCAGGGTAAACAACCTTCAAGGGTCTTTGAGGGAAGCGTTTGGCTAAACTAGCGCTACAACGAGGAAGAGACATGACGATGAACAAGGGACAACGGCAGGTATAAGCTAAGACAAGTTACCAGCAGCTGCAGACAAGCACCGCGCCTTTGACCTCAACCCTCCTTTATCCCACGCGACCGCGACCCCTTTTGTAGCAGGCCACGATCGTTTGCGGCACCCAGACACCCCAGCAGTGCGACCTGAACGAGCTTGATGTCATGGCGCTGGCGCGGCCAGGTCAGCTGGCGAGGTATGGGTCTTCCGGCGAAGCCGCAGGGAAGCCAATCCCAGGGCCAGCCTTGTGCTGCTCTCCGCCGTCCTCGCTCCGAGGCGCAATTCTCACGATGCGTTTCGAGTTGCGCCGCAGCCACAGATTTGGCCTGCTGATCTGGGGCGGGTGGCGCTTCCGCAGACCCGCTGCCTGCTGCATTTCCCATTTGCGGGGGAGGCTGGAGAGGCGCTGCCGCCGTTGTGCCCAATGGCTTTTGGGCAGCCTGGCAGCCTGGCAGTCAGGCTGTCCTACTCTACTAGAGCTGACATAGGTGAATCGTTTTGCCGCTGCCGAGGGCTGGGCTATTGGTCTTGGGAGGGAGTCACGAGAGTGAAGATGATGGCAAGGCAGATGTCGTGTACGCCAAGGATGACGTCGGTCCTGTCTATTCCCGTCAGCGTCACAAGTACGCGCGTCTACTCATGCGAGATGAGAAGGTACAAAAAAGCATTTCGATATATCAGCCCCTCGTTTCAGGCGTTTGACGAGCTTTCCGTTTGCATGGTTGCGGAAGACGCCGTGCTCGTAGGGCTGAAAATGAGCCAGAACGGCCCAGGAACATCATCCAGTTTTGGAGCTCCTCAAACACCCTGTTCGATGGTCACATGGCACGAGGATGTCTCGGAGTCGGGGAGAAACGCCGGCGTGGGGGCAGTGAAGTCAATGACTACCTAGTCAACTTATGCACAACCAATGCTTCTACAATATACGACATATTACAGTAAACTACAGACCAATGGATACGAGCCGACGAATCAGGAGTCAAACTTTTTGACCTCAGGCATCCTTCCAAGCCCACCGCCGCCAGTGCCCTTGACGCTCTGGTTCAATGACTTTCCGCCCACTTCCGCGTCGCCTTCAGCAACGCCGGCAGCGCTACGGTTCTTGACGTGCTCTCTGAGCAAAGACAAGACCTCCGAGTCCTTCCAGCGCTGAGGCACCGGCCTGTATGCAGGCTTGAACGTGCCGGCGGTCTGCGCCCACTCGCCGGTTTTGCCTGCCCAGGTGCCAGCCCTGTCTTGCGGCATGGGCGGGTTTTCGCCTTGAGCAGTCGGCGTGGCCATGTCGGAGCCAGCGCCTTCAGCGTACTCGGCCGAAGTGGGGTTCGGCTCTTGCGTGGCCCAGTAGTAGATGTCCCAGTCGTTTTCATCGAGGAAGCGATCGTAGTCTTGCAGTTGCTTCTGGTTCATGTTTCCGAGGTTTTCGTCGGCGAAGGTGGACATGAGAAGCTCACTTTCGAGGGTTCCCCTCTTCCTGCTTTGGTCTGCGCGCGCAGTCAAGTCAATATACTGTCGGTGTATGGGTTGGGTAAAAACTGCAACAACGGACATAATAACCTTGCACGCATGGTGTTGGCGTCTTCGCCGGTGCGGCGGATGGGCTCAACCTTGAAGCTGCCACCCTCGATCTCACCCACGCCAAGCTCAGAGTTGACACCGGCCTGCGGACCGCCCTTCTGTGTGCCGCCAGTCATGCGCTCGGTGTTCTCAGGGACAGAGTCCTTGGGCGTGAAGTTTGGGTCGATGGACGTGAGCATCTCGGGCGGAGGACCATCCTTGCCAAGGCTGGGCAGCTCGTTCGCAATGGTCGAGGTGGTGTTTGTCATGTGCGGGTTGAGAGGCTTCTCGGTCTGCTTCTTGCGCCATGCTTCGGTGGTGTCGTTGCCGCGCTCATTGAGGCCGAAGCGCGCGGCGGAGGAGCTGAGAGGGCGCGAAAAAGAGAAGACGGCCCTGGAGGAGCGGAGGACGAGCCTTGCGGAAGACATGATTGAGTACCGTCCTGGTTTGTGGAGCAGCCAATTGGTGATGAGGGGATGGTAATCGCGCTGGCTGTGTCGAAGCTGTCGAGTGGTTGACATCATCACCTCTGCGATTCGCCCGCACACGTGACGCGATTTTTATCCGAGACGAGACCAGAAGCGCGCCAGACATGATCCATCCGTCCTTTCCTCAACACCCAACCCCCCTCCTCCTCCCCGACGCTGCGGAGTGCGTGCTTGAGATCAACAAGACGATGATGTCTTTGCACAATCCTCTGAGATCCTCCTGCTGAGAAATCGGACCATGACCCACGACTGCTACTCCACAGACACCCAACCATGGATGCGGCTCGTAGTGTGCTGATCCATCATCCCTTTGCTCGGGGATGTTTTATGAAATTTTCACTTCTCGCATCGCTGTCCTTGGCTAACGCTATGTCACTAGGGGACGGGCTGGCAAAATTTTTCCGACGTCTGTCGTCGATGCGGCGGGATGGAGGCCAATCCGTACTCTCCATCAAAAACTGTTCCAGGGCCCTGGGACACATCTGGCCTTTCCCCGCTACGTTTTCTTTCATCCATTCGTCCATGTGCTTGAAAATCGCCATCGCAAGATCCATCCTCACGCCATTGCCCGCTTGGGCATGGCGTGCATTTTTCCTCCGCTGCCACGCCCGTTTGCGGCATTCCATCTCTCCCAGGGCACTGGAGACAGAGGGGGCCGGGGACCAACCACCGACGCGATAGCGAGCACTCTCCACCGTCAATTTGAACGCTCTGATCGTACGAGGACTTCGCGCCATTTGACTTCTACCAGACTTCCACAGTCAGCCGCCAAGCCCGCTGCGGACTTGCTTCGGACGCTCGACGACCCCTTCGAAGTCAACGTCTGTCGTCAAGATTTCAAGGGCCTGACGTATGGCCAACGGCCGTTGGGGGTGCTCGCCATGCATTCCCGATGGGGCTGGTACTCATGTCCCGACGCTACATGGCTGCAAGCGGAATGTTCAGCCCTCGGCACTACACGGTGAATAGTCTTTCAGCCTCCTCTTTTACTCATTGTTTGATTCTTTTGAAGCGTTGGTACGGTTTGTACAGGTGTCAAACGCCGCAGATCGCCAGTCACGGGAGTTTTCTCTACAGCATTCCTCAGACTTCTGCCACTTGTAGGGCCACAGCTGTAGGAATGCCTCGCAGAAAGCGGAGGCTGGCAGTGTCTACGAGCTGCCTATATATCCTGTGCCTGTTTGATTCTGTTTGTTTTCCACATCCTCGTGATTGCCAGCGTGTTTGCGCCTGCACTGCCAATCTCCCGCACGTTTTCCTGCAGGTACCCTCCCTCTCTTCGTTACCTGCCCCACCCGAGTCTTACCCGTCCCCCGGCTCGACTTTCCGCCCGTTATGGCTACTTCGCCACACCTGCAACAAGCTCCCGACGCAGCCCCCATGCATCACGTGCAGGGCAGGTCCTGCCGCCAAGGTGGTGAGATGGCGCTGCTGCGAGACTTCCCAATGCGGCCCGACAACAAAGAGGCCGGATGGAGCGTCCCATACGACCAGCTCTTTCAGCAATATGTCGACACGGACCTGCTCGACCTGAGCAGCGACAATACAGCGGAAGGGACAAGCAGCTCCGATGATCTGAGCAATTTCTTTGACGTCTCGTCGTCGTCGAATGGGAGCGCGGCGGCCAAAACCTTGTCTATGCCCAATTGGGAGGCGAGAAACACCGAACCAAAAGATGCCTGGCAACAGGCTTGGAGCTATATTGGCTCCAACCCAACCTCGGCCATACCCGAAGGCAATCAGGCTTCGATCTACCCAGAGTCTCGCGGAAAGGCTGCGGCGTCTGATCCGGGGCTTTTCAACTTCGAGGAAGCGCCTTGCACTCAAGTAGCTTCCGATCCCTTCGTTTTTTCCGGCTCCTCCTCACCATATCCCATTCCCTCCTGTCCCACCAAGAAGTTCCACAGCCTCCCTACCCGCAGCAAGAGACGGGATCCCCTTTCGCTCAGAAGGACTGTCTCAAGAGAAAGCCTCTCGTCCAAGATGATGCGTCCTTCGCAGTACCGCACCGGCTATCAAGAAGCCTGGGCGAAGCGCGTCGGCGCGCCACCGCTGTCCCCTCCGCCTTCGTCAAAGGTCTCGCAGGAGGAGAACAGCTATGGGTACGCGTTCCCCGCCAGCATGCATTTCACAAATCCCCTCGACCTTGACCGCGACATGTCTCTCTCCGGCCAAAACTACACTTCGCGGCCACAAATACAAATCACGCCGGTCGCATCGCCCACCAGCCAAGCACCGAGTAGTGCAAGATCGTCGTTCCACCAGCCCAACGACTCGACCAATCCCTACCTCACTCACGATCTCAGCGAAGCTCTGCAAACCCCTCCTCACTCTGATCGCATCCCCTCCTCGTCGTGGACACAAAGCCAGAATGCCTCCTTCGAGTTCAGCTTCCCGCCCACGCAAAGCGAGTCTCAGCCGTGGTGGTCAGCTCAGCCTTCCTCGCAGTCGTACCAGCAGCCTCGGATGGACACGATGCCCATCAGCACAGCTCCGTCTGACCTGGCCACGTCAGGCCTCATGATCCAGTGCGACTCTAGCAGCATGCCTAGCATGCTCGAGGCGCACGGCCAAGATGGCTCATATCCGACTTCGTCGCCAGTCGTGTACTCATCGCAGTTGTACACGGCTAGCGCGATGCCCACGTACGGGCACGCGCATGCCCAGCCGCAGCAGCTAACACCTCCGTCGCGCAGCCCTACATCCTCGCCGCCAGGCATGCCGTACGTGCGCTCGCGGCGCTCCTCGTCGCAGCGGCCCACGACGGCGGTAGCGGCAGCAGCAGCAGCGGCAGCAGCGGCGGCGGCGGCACGTGGCATCCATGGTAGCCATCACCACCACAACAACAACCACCACCGGCGCAAGAGCAGCAGTGGCAATGGCAGCGGCGTGGGCAGCCGCCCTACCAGCGTCGGCTTTGTTAACTACACCCCTGATGACAGCCGCAAGATCTTGACGGGGGTGGCGCCGAGCGGCAGCAGCAAGACCAAGGCGCGCCGCGAGAAGGAGGCCGCGGAGAAGAGACGCAGGCTCAGCCAGGCGGCCGCGCGCGCCATCATCGAGGCGGGCGGCGACATCACGACATTGGAGCGCGAGGGGCTGCTGTTTTCGGAAGCTGCAGAGCATCATGCAGTGGGGAAATGAGTGGGTACCTAATTCAGAGATAGTGTGATTGTAAGTTAGAAGAGTGGAGTTTGAGTTTGCGCTTTGTCGTTTTTTCACTTTAACTTGCTGTTTTCTTTTGTTGCACGGGAAGATATACATACACCGAGTGTTTTTTCGATATTTTTTAGTTTTGCTCTTGTTCCTCATCCATTCTGCTGGCTTGTTTTGCTTGTTCTATGTACCTCGATGGATCAGCGTGCCATTGATCCAAGGTTTGTTTGTCTGTCTATCTGAGCTTTTACTAGCCACGCCATGTACGGAGCGCACGTCGTCATTTCTGGGGTCTAAAAGGAGGGGAGCGAGTAATAATTGGCAGCGGGCGTAGACGTAATGTCAAAAGAAGTACTAGTCATTTTGAATCAATACCTACACACCCACACATAGCTACAGTCCTCGAGTATCTATCTAATGCTTACTCCCTATCTCCCCGCCAACTGAGCAAGTGTCAGACTCACTCAGCAAGCCCAGCCAACTACTCCTGGCTCTCCCACGCCCTGCGCCGTCCCTCTGACCCCCTTCCTCCCCTCCGCTCACCTCATCCATCCCATCCCATCCCATTCCACCCACCGAACCCCATCCGTCCGTCCATCCCGTCCGTCCCCCACCATACCACAGCGCACCATACCAGCACCGCGCGCGCAGCACAGGCCACAGCCAGGCACTCCCCCCCGCCGCCGCTCCTCCGTCGCCGGATCAGGCAAGCGCGCCTGCGTCTGCGTCTGCATTTTCTCGCCTCCGGCCTACGCGTCTACTCTACGCACCCCACCCACCCACTCACCCACCCACACGCTCGGCTTGCGCAGCCGCAGCCGCAGCCAACGCGCCCATGCCCATGCCCAAGTCCACGCCCGTGCCCGTGCCTTTACCTGCGTACGTCTGTGCGTGCGAGGTCCTGCTAGCTAGTGTATGTAGCACGCTCTCCAGTACTGCAGACGCGCTCTGGGGTAGGCAGGGTGGAGACGGGAGCGAAGTTTGTTTTGTGGGCGGGATGGGATGTTGGGGCAACGCTGCGCGGGCACGCATGCACGCACGCACGCACGCACGCATGCACGCGCACGACTACTGCACGGACGGGGTGGGCGCGGGTGTAAGTACGTCGTAGGTTGTCGTCGGCGTCGTTAGAGTGTTAGGTACTCTAGTGGGTAGATACTCTAGGTACGGAGCATGTACGTGCTAGCGCGTCAGCGGGGATAAAGTCATTGAGTGAGCCAGTGAGCCACTGAACCCCCTCGGCAACCCTCCTCCTCCTCCTCTTCTTCTTCTTTTCTTGCATCATCGGCCCGCGCCGCGTCTTGCTGTGGCGTGCTTTGGCTGCGTGGGCGCTTACGTAGGTGTTTTTTGCCCCTGGGCTGCCTGCTGGTGTGGTGGTGGTGGCGGGAGGCGAATGGTGGCGGCGGAGGAGGATCGGGAGATCGGCTGGTGGGGGATGGGAAGGAGGAGGGGAGGGCATGCGTAGTAGGAGGTAGTAGTGTACTCGAGTAGAACAGAAAGGTAGGAGTAGCGGGAATAGCAGTCAAACAAAGCCAGAGAACCTTGCCCGCACGCTCTCCAACCCACTGAACCCCCCTCTCCACCAACCACCACCACACCACCCCACCATCCGCAAAAGCAAAAACCCCTGCCCAAACGGCGCAAGCCACTACCGTCGTCGCCGCCAGGCCACCCGGGGCCGCCGAAACAACGGCACAGGGATGCAGTAGCGCGCCGTTCGAGCCGGCGTCGAAGAACTAGTATGGAACGTTCGTCCCTGCGCCCCAAGAAGTACTCGAGTACTAGAGTACGTACGTACCTGCCAAAACACACACACACACAAACACACACAGGGCACGCTACACAATAAGCGCGACGCCCGCGCGCCTGTCCCTGCCCTGCCCTGCTCTGCTGACTAGTATGTACCTAGTAGTTAGTAGCTAGGGACGTCGCGACTGGTGGGCTAGCGGGCTAGTCGTCGGACTTGCGGCAATGCTGGTGTGGGTGCGGCGGCGGGCGGAGGTGGCGCCGAGAGGGGGCGGGGTATGCTGCGGTGCGGTGCGGTAGGTGTGGGCGTGGTGGAGTGGTTGTCGGCTGATGTGAGGGTGCTGGTGCCCGTTGTGAGGTTTTAGTTGATTATGATGATGGTGGTGGTGGTGGCTAGAGTGTAGAGGGAGGCGCTGACTGTTGGTGGCTGTGCAGCGGACGGTACGGGATAGTTCTATAAAGGGGGTTAGAATGTTGTTCTTTGGTTTGCTTTTGTTGTCTGTTTGAAGAGCAGATGTAGATATACAAAGTACGAAGTAAAAAAATACATTAGGCAACTAGTGTGGTCAGTCTCGAGGCACATCCATAAGAATCGAAGCCAGCACACACCACACTGCGAGGCAAAACAAAGAGGACTATCAGGCCAGACTGACCGAGTTGAATCTACGGCAGAGTTTTTGAATGCATCTACATAAACCCTAGCCAGAAAGCATCTTGAAGCAAGTATGTCTCAAACCATCAAACCTCATCAGTAATCGTTCCACCATCAGCAATCAATCTCACTGATGAGCCGTAGCACCACCATAGGGCGTCTTCTACTTCGCGACCCTCCGCTTTTCATCATACAAGCGCTTCTCAAACGCCTGGTGCTTGACAAAGGACCATTCACGGTCAGTCTCTGCCAAGAAGTCACGACCCGTATCCCACACATACGTCTCCAGCTTCTTGGATCTAACACCCGCAGCTGTCATGTCGTTCTTTAGGGTGTTGATGTTCACTTCGAGAGTGTTGTCGTCGGCCGCGCCCTGAATGATCATTACGTTACCAGCAATGTTCTTGAATCCCTCGGGGCGCTTCACGGCCGCAGCGGCATAGCCGTCCGCATTCTCTGCCGGCAGACCCATATACCGCTCCGCGTAGAAGCTGTTGTAGAAGCGCCAATCCGTCACAGGTGCCCAGCCCAATCCGAGCGTGAAGACACCGTTATTAGCCTCCACAACCTTCAGCGCGAGGTACGCACCATAGCCCTCGCCAAAAATGGCGACGTGTGCCGGATCCGCCCACGCGTTGTCTGCGAGGAGTTTCTGCGCGGCCCAGATCTGGTCGTCGGCCTCAAGCTTTCCAAGTTGGTTCTTGATAGGACTCCGGAAGGCGCGACCTTTGTTTGGAGTGCCGCGGCCATCAACCGTCCAGGTCGCATATCCATACTCCGGGTCTGAGGACATGTACGCAAACCAGTTGAGCTCTGGGAACTTCTTGCGGACTTTTTGGACGCCAGGACCACCATACGGCGTAAAAAGAACAGGATACTTGCGAGCGGGGTCGAAGTCCGCGGGCAAGCGCTGCATGACGTTGAGGGTGTAGCCAGATGGATGCGTCAGCTCGAAGTAGGTAGTGCGGGGGAGTTTGAACTCCTGCAGGGTGTTGTACAGTTCCTCGTTGCTAATGAGCGTCTTCAGCGGCTTGGTGGAGTCGACGGAATAAAGCTCTTGGTAAGGCACGTCGGGGCCTTCATAACTGAGGACATAATACGAGCTGCCGGGGGTGAAGGAGGCTGTCCAGTAGGCAGCGACGGTATCATCAACAAGGGGAGTCTTTGTGCCCGTCTCGTATGAGATCGAGTAAACGTGGCTTTCGGTGCTGTGATGCTCATTGGAGGTGTAGTAGACCATCTTGCGGGTTGTGTCGACTTTGAGGACGGCAAGCACTTCCCATTCGCCGGATGTCAAAGGCTTGCTGTCGCCGCCGTGGACGGGCCAAAGGACCAGATGGTTCCAGCCGTCCATATCGGACATGCCCAGGTAATAGGTATCATCAGTGGAGGCGCCGGAGACATGGCCTAGATAGGTGAGGTAGTGGTGGTTGCCGTCATCGGTGAAGTCGGGGATGTTGTCAATCCAGCCCTCACTAACGGTCCTCTCACGGACAGTGGAGATTTTGCCGCTCTGAACATCCACGTTGAAGATTTTCTCCTGGTCTTGGACCCTGTTGAATGCGCGGACAAGGACGTTTGAGTGGTCATCGGTAACCCAGGTAACTTCTCCAATGATCATGTCGTCCATAGGGAATTCGTCAACATGCACCGACCCCATGGGCGCAGAGGAAACGTCCAGGATATGAAGTCCAACTTCAGGAATCTTTTCACCAGCCTTCGGGCAACGGTAATCCTCATATACTTGCGGAGGGTTTCCCTTGGACAACTTGTTTTCAGTAACACCGGATTCATTGAGACTTAGATAGGCGAGATGCTTTCCGTCCGGGCTAAACCATAGCGCAACGCTGTCTTGAAACACCTCTTCTTGGTACATCCAATCGGGAATAGTGTACAACAAATCCGATCCGCCATCGGCGGTGATTTGAGTGGCGACGGAATCCTGCGAGATGTAGAGATTGTTTCCACGGACAAAGCGATGTTGTTGAGCTTGGGGTTCCACTGAGCATACTGAATGTCGCCGGCTTGGTCCTTGACGAGCGGCTCCACGGTTCCAGAAGAAACGTCTTGAACGAAGTAGTCGGCAGTAAACGACGTCAAAGGTCCCATCTTCTTGTTCGTAGCCCACAAAACCTTGGTCAAGTCTGGCTTGAGCCAATGGCCGGAATAGCCGGCCGGGAGCTTGTCAGCGGGAATGAGTACCTTCTGGGCGTCGGTGGCAAGGTTGTAGATAACCAGACCGGCATCATTTGCGTACGAGCATTGACCATCTTCATCGGTAGCAACCCAAGGGTAGTAGTCCATATGGGTAGAGAAATCAAACAGAGACTCATTGAAAGTCAAGAGTCTCGTACCGCTGCCAGTCGGAGGGTCAGGCGAGCGAGCAGGGGTGATGGCGTTGACAAAGCTGGCGATGACCAACGTGAGGAGCAGTAGAAACTGCATGTCGAAATGTTGGGAAGGAAAGATCAGGAAAGAAAGGAAGGAAGAAAAGGAAGGAAGAAAAGGAAGGAAGAAAAGGAAGGAAGAAAAGGAAGGAAGAAAAGGAAGGAAGAAAAGGAAGGAAGAAAAG